GGAAAATGGCAACCCAAGTAATTTATTTACTTCAATGGCAATTTAAAACCCCAAAAATTTATTTAATTAATTTCTCTTAGATAAAACAACATCAAAAGTGGAGGAAAAATTAAAAGATTTTCAAAAAAATTTTACATTTCTTTACTTTCTTCAGCTTACTGTAAACATATATAGAAAAAAATTTGAGCTGTTGAAAACTTGTATACCAAAAAAGAAAATATATCTCTGGCTCCATTTTTGAGCTGTTTAAATATTTCAGATATTTAAAATTAAAAATATGGAGAATGTTTGCAGTTTCCATAATTTCTCATAACCAGACTCAATAAATGTTTGAATGAGTGCATAGACATGATATTTGTGTTCATTGTACAAACTAGACTATAGTGTAACGCTTACACTTAGCATGGTATTTACAACCTATGTTTCTGTAAAGGCATATGATTCACATCAAAATATCAAAAATGTTTGTTCACATTTAGAAGCACATCAATGAATACCTAAGCCTGAAACTTGTTTGAAAATGATTTAACTAATATTTAAATTAAAAAAGGTCACAGCCCTATGACAAGTCTTATTAAAGGAATCATATCTGCAGGTGCCTTATTAGCAAAACATGAGGACCTCAGGAAAATCTGACTGTTCTATAAATTGTATAACTGTATATCAATAAAACATAATTTATAAATTTAATTACTGTACATTTCAGGCACTTCACCATGCACTCTTGATGTAAAGAACTCCAACCTTTGGGATTATGCCCAACAAGTGCACTTTTTCCATCATTCTCAACCGGTTGATCCAAAATGTTTTAGGACACCAAGAATGTTCCATGTGTTTGGTGTTTGTGTAGAGGGATCAGGTTAGTTTGCCCATAACATTTTTTTGACATATTTTTTCATGTGCATATTGTAAAAAACATGTTTAAAAAATATTATCAAGGTAGATTTCTATATTTTTTTCTTGTCAGATGTGTTCCTTTGCCATGAATTTTATTATTAATTATTCTCCTATGCTATAGTATTTTCAGTTGCAAAAGGAATATTCAGTTTAAATTATAATCTAAATTTTAAGTATTATTTACTTAAGTACTATTTATATCCTATGCAAACTTTTTAAATTTTCAATTTATATGTATTTTAGGACTTCATGGAAGTGTCAGTCTCAACATGCTTGGTACTTTTATATCTGAAAGTGAAAAACAGTGCAACAGGTTGCCTAAAGTGTACTGTCCTGAAGTCATCAAGATATGGGCACAATATCCTACAGCTTATAGATGATCCAGAAAATCCCTATGAAGTCATTTATTAAGTTAAGCCCTCAAACTGTTATCCAAAATACCACCATTTTTGTGCAAGTGCAATGGAGCCAAGTGTTATAACATGTAAAGAATTTTTAACTCTGTGGAGGTAAAAATGTTTTTAACTGAAACAATTGTCCCAAGAAGGTCTTTTACCTGAATACAGTAATGATGCAGCAAGACATTAGTTCTGTTTGAACAAATTGGGAGTTCTTCAAAAATCTGAACATAAAAAGAATATTGTGTGGCCAAAACCAGTTTATAAAACCACAAGAAATAAATTGGATATTGACCAATTTATTTAAAAAGGGGGAAAGAAAAGAGGCAATCTTTTCCTCTTTTTGAAAAAAAAAGGTTTAAATATTTTGGGGTTTTTCCCTATAACAAGTGGTCAATTATGGACTTCCATTAATTTCTTATTTAAAATTATAGCTTATATACAAGTAAGATCCATAAGATAAGACGGGGCAAGTGGTTCATAACGGTGCCCAAGGACAATGCCTATATTAACAATTGGGTTGGAAATCAATTAGCATAGATATTTAATTTTAATGCTGCCTATAATTAATTTTTTGGATCATGTTCAGTTTAAACAAGTTACTAAATTTTCCATTCAATTTTTACAAAATGCTTTTTTAAATTTAATTTTTTTATGTAAAACAACATTTGCTTTTATCTAATTAAAAATTTATTTGAACCTAGCAGTTATAAATTTGATAACTGTAAACTGATCTTAACTTTAATCTAGTTTAAAAAATAACGGGTATTGAAAATGTAAAGTAACAAAAGTTTAAATTTACTTGCCCAAATTTTAAACATTTTTATTTAGAATAAAAAATTTACTTTATTATAACAATGATAGGTCAGTTTTTTTTTAGGGTTTAAATTTTAAATTTAAAGAATCACATTGAAAATTTAAATCCCCAAATCCTTAAAATTTTTAAAAAAAAGTAAAAAAATAAAAGAAAATTTCAAGGGTTTAAGCAGGAAAACCAAAAATTCCCCCCAATTGGGAAGGTTTTTAAACGGGTGCATCATAATAAAAATACTTACATGTTTGATCACATTGAAAATAATTGAAAAATAATCATCACTAAGTTAAAAAATATTAAAACAGAGAACCTTAAATGTACCTGAAAATAAATGTTGTGAGCATGATATTAGAAGTATCATTTTTAATTTATATTATTAAGGAATGGTGAGGCAGGCTGTTCTCTGAATACCTTATTAAGTTCAGTTACACATTATTTGTGGTATTGTTTTCATTTTTTTATAATAGCACAAATTGCTATTTTTAACTAAGTTGTAATCTCCTGTATGCCTGTAAAAATTTGGAAATTTAGAAATTTATATAAAAAAAAAAATAATTATTCATTGGTTGCTAAGCAACCTAATTATATGCAGAGGCAGTTTTAAGTAAGGAACATTTTTTTGTAGGAATTATCTTTATGTCATTTTTAATTAAAATAATGCTAGTTAATTCAAAGTCCTTTACTTTGTTGTGAAAACAGTGTTTAGATAGTTAACACCGTAGATGTAACTGAAAAACATAACTTTTATGAAAAAATTTAATATGTATATTTAATAATATCTATATAAATTCAAAACCTTGATAGTAAAGTGATTTTAAGGATACTTTTGATCCAAGAACTATTATTAAGATTTTATTTGCAGTTTTTAAATAGTTGTAATTTGTTTATTGTAATCATCCTGCTTTTTGTTCATGGTATTTTGAGATATTTTTAAATCAAAAACTTAAAATTTGTTAAAATTTAAAAAGGAAACTAGGAAGATTTTGTGGTTGCCTTGGCAAAACTGACTAATTTTTACTTATTTGCATAGGTATTTATGTAAATCAGTTTATTACAGCAGATAAATATATTTATGTAATATGGAAAGTTACAGTGATTTGATCAAATGCTTATTGGTTATTGTAAAACATACAGAGCAATATACATGGCAAAAATACTGAGTTCTGCTAAAATTTGCATGACTTACTAACACTAGTCAAGTGTACAGAACATGGATTGTATGTTATATCTTCAATGGAAAATTATTGAAAAGTAATTAATAGGCATTGTTTATAATTTTATTGAAAATTTATTTATTTCTGCTACTTTGTTAGCTGTTTTTTACCAAAAAATTTGTATATTTACAAAATAAAATACAAAAATTTAGAATATTCCATGGTTGCTAGGTAACAGAATATAGCTTCCTTCATGTTGTATTTGTGTAATTATGCCCTATATTTAGTGTCACTACCTTTGATGATGTTATACTTGAGTCATCATTCATTTACTGTTGTATTAAACTGTTGTCTGCTGTCAGAGTAAATATCTGAATAAAGTTAATAAATGAATGATAATGGACAACTGTGTTTAGTTCTTTTTTGAAGTTGTAATTATGATATCTCTCAACAGTAATATGTCTTTAGCACTGGGTTAGAAATGCAATAGAAACTATTTGCAAAATGTGAAAGAAAGAAATATATTTTCCGAATCTGAATACTTGCAAGTGTTTTAAATAAACCTAAGCACATTTAACTTTTAAACACGGAAAAGCCAAAAGGAAGAACCCAGGAATAGGCCGTTGCCCTAGCAAACATAAATGTTTAAATGGATTCTTTAATTTATGGTGCTGTATTCCCCCAAAAATATTCTCAACAATTTTTTAAACTTTAAATAACATAAAACAATTTTTTCAAACAAAATTCATTTAAGCTTCAAAAGTTGTTTTCCTCAATGCACCTTTAAAGCAATCACAAAGATCAAAAGATTTTTATGTGTATTTTTAATACTACTGACACCATACCCCACAAAATTAGTAAAAACCTTTTCAAAAAAAAGAAAACACGAAACCTTTAAAAATTTTCAGGGAAATTTTTCTATATTCATAGAATTTAAAAAATTAAAAAAAATAAAAACAAAAAATTTTGGGCAAAAAACCCCATTTTTTCATTCCAATTGCACAAAATGAGGAAAACTGTCCTGCAAGTTTCCGGGGGAAAGGGCTGTGGGTTTTACTTATTTTATCCATTTTCTCAAAGCTTTTAAAAATACATAAAAGTGCATTTTTCAAATTTCCGGTGGCTATTTAAAATTGAAAATACCCATTTTTTTTAGGGTTTTGGGTAAAAATTTTTATTTTTAACAAACCCCCCCCGATTAATACCTAAGTTGGTTTTTTCCCGACACGGGGTCGTAAAATGCACGGCACAAGAAATAAAGCTTACACATCATATAATGTCAGATATGATAATAAACCAAAGAAGTCATGAAAATTACTTCTAGCGCTAACCATGTCATGTGCGTTGTAGTATATCATATTAATGTGCTTTTAATCTATCATGCTTTATTATAAATCACTCGGACTAGTGTTGCATCTAAAATTTCAAAATTATGGAGGATTGTCACCCACACAACTGAAAAATGAGGGGGACAATATGATCATTTTAATTGTTTTTCTGTCGAACAACAGAGAAGTAGATGCAACACTGCAGACCTATCAGCCTATATTCCTGTGCATTGTGCATTATTCTACAACAAGACATTCAAAGTTGATATCTATTTCCTAAATAAATGTATGATAGAAAATTTCAAGTTTAAAAGCTTAGGATGAAATCTTATTTAAGAGATTTTAACTTCTTATTATTTGAAAAAGCTTCATACTCATTATTCTAGATCAATTAAAATAACTATATATTCTTTGATTTAGGTGTCCAAATATTTTAGTGAAATATTTAAGAAGTTAGCTCCTGAAGGTCATGCTGTTCTTGTGATGAAAAAAGGAGACACAGATCAAGGGGTAAGTCATTATTAAATTTCATATATCTCATAATTTGTACCATATTTAAATCAGGTAGTTGGTAGCTGAGTGGTTAGGTTGAGTCACTCAATCACTTGTCCCTTACCACTGAAAGTTTAAATTCTACCAGTCATTTATTTATTTATTTTTGGAAAAGGAAGCATTCTTGGTAGTGTACAAAAGATTAGTGATTTTACTCAAGTGCCCACTCCTGCCAGAAAAGTGTTAAAGTTGCACTAATATGACCCTTACAGTGGCTTAAAAACTCAACAACAACAACAGAAAAAATTGTTGATGCTGGTGAAAATTTATATGATAAGTTTATTAGATTATACTAGGAGACTTAAGTACAATTTATGATGGTAAGTTCTGTTAGATGTCAAGGTTGGTTTCACTTTTAACTTCCTTAATTAAAGCTTCACAGTTTAGATGTAATTTTTAATCCAATAAAAAAAGTTTTGTTTTTTTCTTTACCCAATCTGTCTCTGTGAATCTGATCTAATATAGAAAGGGTCTTCCTCCAACAGTCTAACAAGGACAACAAGTCAACTCCAGCATCTTTGGATTCTTCATAAGAGAAAGCTATCCTGCTAGCTAAGGGAATGTCAATAGTTCTACTTAGGTGCCCATTTGTGCCTGAAATGATGTACAGAAGGGCAGGCAACTGAGGTCTTCCTCCACCAGTAAGTAAAGCTAAAAAAATACCCCATATGACGTATACAGTGTTGGTGCAACATTAAACCCAACAACATAAAAAAAAGACAAGAACAGTGACATTAACAGCATTCATATGTCTGAATTCCAAATAAAAAAGTCAGATCATTAAAAAATATGCTAAAAGAATAAATGAATTTTATATTTTATGTTTCCAGGGAGATGATGAGGAAGGTTCACAATCACAGGAAGTGCCTCTTGTAGAACAGTTCACGGGGGTGGGAATTAAGGTATGTACATATTTATTTAGTGTCAATTTTTATTTGCATAAAAAGATTTCTGGAATAATGAAGTACATGTAGCACCAGTGCTGTCAAATGCTGCAGTGATTTTGATAGTTTTTTGTCATTACAGCCCTTGCCTTCAAAATGGGAAAATTAAGTGCCATAACCAATAGAAAATTGAGAGTATTTAATACATGCACTTTTTATTCAGATGTTCATTGTGTTTTCATGAAAATTTATATTTTCCAAAAAATTTGAGCCAAAAGAGAAAAATCCTTACAATTTTGGGGGAATTTTCATGACAAAATTGAGAATTTTAAACAGTTTTGTGAATTTCCACGAGGCTTAATTTATATTTGTTCTCTATTCTATGCAAAAGAAAATCATTGTCCTGGCTCTTTAATTAATTACTTATGTAAAAACTATAAAATTTGAAATTTTGAATATGTAATACAAGAAGAAGAGCTGGATGGCAGATTGTGATTATATCAAACTCTAACCTTTGCAATGTTAGTTTTTGTGGATTTGAACATAAGACTGGTTTGCTTGCCATGTATTTAGGATGGTCCCGTATGGTACCACTGTTCTTATTATTTCCAGCAAATTGTACAAATAAAAAGAAACTTATATTTACTATTTTATTGAATTGTGTTTAGCTGTCGCATCTTGACTTTAAAATACACATGTCATTCATAGAATAACTCAATGATTTTAATTAGAAACATCTATGGTCCGTCAGCCATGTTTAGAATGGGAGCTTAAACGGAGAGCACTATGGTACCGTGGTATGTTAATTGATGGCCCTTTTTGGCTTCAGTATAATTTTTTGTAATAGAATATGCGGTCACTACAGTTTCAGCAGACGACCTTCACTTGTCGGAACATGAAATTATAAGTTAAACCTTTAAATATGGGGTAAAATAAAGAAGTTTTTTCAGCACACACAGGCAGCTTTGGATTTTCCTATCAATGACAGAATTTATTTGAAATGAAAAAATTTCTAACAATTTCTATCCAAATTCACAAAAAGCAGCACTTCCACTTTCACTTTAATGGTGGAAACAGTATTTGGTGGCATTCAATGTGTAAAGAAACAAATTTTCTGATTACATCGGAATGGGCAAGGACGCGGTACCCGCGGGGAGTACTATATATAACATTATGTAATAATCATATACCAATGCCAATTTTGCAACTCTGTAAAAATGGTATTGCACAGCCCATATATTTTGATGTGATGTCATTTGAGTTATACAAACATAGTGTAAAATGTTAGCTTTACACTATCGAAATGTGAGTTGAAAAATGAAATTTTTTTCCCCCATTTCAAACAGTCTTTATTTTGGGTATATGATAAATAGAATATTATATCATTACTAAATTTATCCAACTTGTTCACTAAATTCAGTATTGAACTTACACTCATTCAGTATTCTGTATTTTATCAATAAAAAGCAAGCAGTAAAATGTTTAAAGTGTTCACAGCTCAGCCAAAAGATCATGTTTTCTTATTTGACATTGGAACAGGATAGTTTAAGAAGTGGACTTGCACTTTATTAAAATCACAATAAAATGGCGCAATTAACTTGAAATGAGCCGCGTCATGACAAAACCAACATAATGGGTTTGCGACCAGCATGGATCCAGACCAGCATCCGCGCAGTCTGATCAGGATCCATGCTGTTCGTTGTCAGTTATTCTACTTGTAATAGAGTTGGTAAGCGAACAGCATGGATCCTGATCAGACTGCGCGGATGCGCAGGCTGGTCTGGATCCATGCTAGTCACAAACCCATTATGTTTTGTCATGACGCGGCTCAGATAAACAAATTTTAATGAAATATTTCAGGTATCATTTAGTGGTAACCGGGCAGAAATGAGGGACATGCAGCAGTTGTCAGGAGGTCAGAAGTCACTGGTGGCTCTAACACTTATCTTTGCCATCCAGAAATGTGACCCGGCTCCATTCTATCTGTTTGATGAAATTGACCAAGCCTTAGATGCCCAGCATAGAAAAGCTGTTGCAGGTACCAGTCACTCTTAGTTAGTTCTTGGAATGCTGATTTCTAAAAATAGCACTATCTAGGTCACCATTGTTGACTTCAGGGTTTTCTGCACATCAGTGCATTCTGAATAGATACCTGCACTGTCAACTACTTTAATATTTTGATCAAGAAGTCTTTTGGATTAATCGTAGATTGACCAAATAAATAGCTTGGTCTGTCTGAACAAACATTAATAGCTAGGAGTGTCATCGATTCAATCGATATCGGTGTATCAACGATCTTTGTTATCCAATTCAATATCGATTCCATTTTTTAAATATCGGATATCGAATGCACATATATTTCTAGCTAAAGAGACTTCAGCAAACAGGTTTTATAGAACTGATAGACCTGTTTACTGTCGCAAAACGTCAAAATAAAAGCGACATATAAAGTTATGGAAGCCAGAAACATTTTTTTTCTAAAATGAAAACGGAAATCAATGCCAAAGTTACCTCCCAGTGTCTCTAACGAATGCTGCCTAATTTCGTTGTAATCTCGCACGTCTGCTAAGTGGATGTCAGGACCCCTCAATTCAGATTTTAAAAAGGGAAAATGCCAAGAAAAATTTGTCAGTGTTTCTTTGTAAAAATTATGATTACAAAATGTTAAACTTTAATAAATATTCAGGTTCTAAATACTATAATTTGCCAATTAAACCCGGCTTAATTGGAACGGCAAGGACGGGATTTAGCATGATCAGTAACTACGTAATAGCAACAACAACAACAAAAGTAAAATGGAAAAGGCTTTAAACTTTATAGTTACTAGTCATTAGTTTTCATTTATAGCTATATGATAAAAAAAGAAACAAATTATTCGGTTTTCATAGTTTATCTTCTTTGCATTTGTCTTAATATAACTGCTTTGTCAGTGTCCTTAGGAAACATTAATTTAAAAAGACTTGAAAGCTAAAATTTAGCCTGGCAATCGATATATCGCTGTATCGCCGATAATTCATTACCGATATATCGATACAAAAATCCTTATCGATGACACCTCTATTAATAGCACAATTAGAATTGTTAAGAAGTGTGATTGTCATACATAGGGTATGTACCAAGTGATTTATAGTTTTGTTCATTATATTTATAAGGATATAAAAATGTGTCATGTTCAAAAATAAAAACATTCGAAGTGAAATGATATTGACTGTGTTACCTCATTACGCTTTATGAACTCAGTTCAAAGTATTCAATGAACAAGATACTGGATTTCTTATTCTTATCATGTTGTTGTTGTTGAAGTTACTGATTTCTTTGGTTTTAGATTTTATTGGAAATGTTGATAGTAAACTATGTTTCATACTATAGGGCTAGATGTTTTATACTATAGGGCTAGAAATTTTATACTATACGGGTATGTTGTTGTTATTGTTGTAGATATGATCCACGAGTTATGTCAGGACGCTCAGTTTATCACGACGACCTTCAGACCAGAACTTCTCGAACATGCCGATAAATTCTATGGTGTTAAATTTAGAAACAAGGTATGGCGTTATTCTTTGTGTAGTTATTTGAGTTTAGTCACTAATTTAAGGGGAGTTGTGCCCGAGGGATCTTTTGTATGAGCTGTATTCTGGCCAGCACCGTGGTTCCTCATATGAAACAAGTCATGTTAGTTCTGGTAAGTTCTGGGAAGCGGACTGGAAAGTGATAGATTATTGCAACAACATTATTTGAGCCGCGCCATGACAAAACCAACATAATGGGTTTGCGACCAGCATGGATCCAGACCAGCCTGCGCAGTCTGATCAGGATCCATGCTGTTCGCTATCAGTTTCTCTACTTGTTTCTCTACTTGTAATAGGGTTTGTAAGCGAATAGCATGGATCCTGATCAGACTGCGCGGATGTGCAGGCTGGTCTGGATCCATGCTGGTCGCAAACCCATTATGTTGGTTTTGTCGTGACACGGCTCATATGACACCAGTAACGTTAGTTCTGGAATGTGATATATTATTGCAAGAACATTATTTTTCTTACAATTGCTCTTAAATGAATTTAAAACCATTAGGTGGAAAAATAATACGATGTGTTAAAGCATGCTTACAGATTTTCAAAATATAAAATTTATGAAGGTTTTTAATATATTTACTCAATGCATCTGAGATTTTGTTTTATTTGTATGGCATCATGAAGCTTATCCAAAAAAAAATTGAAGTTGCAAACTAGCAGCATTGTGAAAATAAAAATTTACAATTAGTACCAAAATTCACTATGTATTCAAAATGGGGGGAAAAAAGGAAGTTGAAAACTTTAATTTTTACAAAGTTATTTTAATATAATGAATTTGTTTTCTTCAGGTGAGTCATATAGATTGTGTAAGTTACGAGGAGGCCCAGGACTTTGTGGAGGACGACACAACGCACGGTTAAGACTTGGCGCTTCTAATACCAATATGGCTGCAGTGGAAATGGTACCAAAGTGCTTCCTTGTGAAACCAAAATGAAAAATTTAATTTGATGATATGAAGAGAAAGTTACCTGAGATTTGACTTTTAAGATGTTAAGAATATTGGTGAGAAAGATTTCTGGTGAAAATTGAGAGAATTATTTCTGAGATATGTTTCGTAATGATAGGGCTGTGTTTTAAATGTGGTGATGAAAACATTGACCGGATATTAAATATACATGCTGAACAAAAACGATGTAAGGAATGTGTGTTTATGCTGGTATGATGTTTAAAGACAGAATGTTTCTGTCATATTAAAAATTGAGGGACATATTTTACAATAATGGGGATTGTACATTAAGACATATTCTTTACAATATTACTTCAATTTAATTGACAAATAAAAAATTACATTTAATAAGGAAATACAAGTTAATTGTAAGTTTGGTTTAATCTTTTGCTGTCAGTGTTACTAAGTTTTTATGAAGTTTGAATCAAATACCTTCTTGAAATTGTTAACAGTGCATTATATTTTGGTGTTAAGGTGACCTTGTTGCAGTTTTGATTTTAGTAACTCTTGTTTCAAGTTTACGATGGATATTAACTGGATATTTTTCAGAAGTTAAGAAAATGTTACTGGCAGTTATTTTGTTTTCATTGTTGTATTTTTGTCAATATATTGTGAATTTTTATGTTCTCAGAATAGGCGGAGCATATTAGTGCCATTTTATCCTTCCTTAGATCCGTCTGTCTGTCTCTCGCTCTATTTCTCATAACATCTACATGTTTTAATTGATATCTTTAAAAATTTAGTGTGTTAGCACCTACGATTGGCCTTTCCCATTTGATGGAGGCTGGGTAGGGGTTGGGTCATTTTTGGTCAAGCTAAAAATAGATTTTCATTCCTTCTTTTATTTTATATCAAGAATATGTCTGGAGCTTTGATAAAATGTTATTAGGGAGCATTTAGGCATGTTACACACATTCTTGTGTAGAGGAGATATATGAATAGTGCAGTAAAATTGTGTTCATTCATTCTAGAATTTTAATAGCATAATTTCTATACACGTATATTTTAATCATTTAAACAAAAACTTTTATATATAAATAAAATGCCATGCAATAGTAAGTAAATACATGTAGACTGAATTGAAGGTAGTGCATGTTTAAGGAAATAGAAAAACTCCTGAGTTGAGTGAATGGATTAAGTTATTTAATAGGTCTTTGTGAATAAATCAAATAAAAAGCACTTGAAAGTAAAAATAAAATCATGTAAAATTGTATGTAAATTAATGGGAGTTACAGAATTAACAATGTTAAAATTTATTTTTATTTGTCATTTTACCACTTGTTTTGACTACATGTTCTAAGTGTTTCCATTTTTGTCTTTGGTTTTATACTGGGTGTTCTGAAGTAATGCAAAGATGGGGGGCATAAGTCTTCCCAAACGTTAAAGACCCATTATGCCTCAGAAATGCTATCTTTTTTTTTCCTCAAAACCTTCCTATTTACAAGCATTTGCCACATAGATGAACTAGCTTTTTGCTCTGTAGACAGTTGTACAATCAATGAATGAGTATTTTTATGGAAGTCAAAATACTACTTTGTTAACATTTTCTTACCTTTACAACACATAACTGCACATTCGGCGTTGTTTAACATCTAATAATTATGTGCTGAATCAATTAATTAAACATGATTAAGCACATGTTAATTAAAAACATTAAAACTATGGATTTCTGAGGCATTATATGCTTTAAAAAAAATAACGTGTTGGTGTCACTGTAAAACCTAAATGTTTATTTTATGTTGTAAAAGATATTTGTCTTCAAAATTGCATTAATTTTTCTTATTTTATTTATCCATCTACAAAAAATGATAAGAATCTTTTGTGCATTAAACTTGGGTCCAGGATGTTTGTTTTTTTGTCATTATGTAAGTAATTTATTAATCATGATGGCTTTAAACAGTCCATGTGACAGGGAAATTTCAAATATTTTGTCTTAAACATATAAATGGGATAAAAAAAAACAATTATAATCATAGGGATATATGTAATAAGGTATTCATGATAAAGCTGAAAAAAGGAGGAATGTTAAAAGATTCAGATTTTCATCATTATGTTAATTTGCTAGATATTCCCCCCGAAAAAACCAAGAAAGAAATTACAAGGTTCTGAGAAGGAAAACAAAGTATAGTTTAAATTGGACATACTTGCTATGTACATGTAATATAAAAGTTTAGATTCAAGATTCAAAATATTTTATTTGGTAACGTAAACATGACGTTTCTTGCTACACAACACATATATACAATGATACAATATAACATGTCAACATGACACAAATTTATAGACAATTATATTTTTAGCGGAAAATATGATACATATAGTCAAAACAAGAAAGAAAATGGAAACAAGGAGGTTGAACTAATGGAGATTTTGCATATTTAATGACTTACAGCTAAATAACAATCAAAATCAGTCAAATGTTTCATGAAATTATTGAATTATAACACGGACAATTTGTATATTTTTGGTATATACAGTAATAAGCTTATTCAGATATCATATTAACAATACCTTGACGTATTTCAAACGCTTCATATATATATTTACATAATTTAAGTTGCATGTTTCTTTTGGTATTCTGCATTAGTTCAACGAATTTATGGACACTAGGTCTATTATAATAATATTTCTTTAAGTACTGTTTACGTATATCATTATAAGCATTACAAATACAAACAAAATGAAATTCGTCTTCTATATCACGTGTATTACAAATAAGACAATATCTCTCACTACGTTCAGTTCTACAATTACCATACCGTCCAGTTTCTATTCTAAGTTGGTGTGATGATAATCTTAATTTTGTAAAAGCAATCCTAAATTTCTTAGGAATTTTATCAAGATACAGTGAGTACTCAAATGACGTCTTAAAAAGTCTATATGTGCCTAGGCTCGGGCTAGTTGTTACATTATGATACCAAGACTGGATGAATTGATCAATAAGATTTTGCTTTAATAATAAATGTACATTTTTAAGGTTATAAATACTTGGATTATACCATATATATGACAAACCTGCATTATCTAACAATGATTTCACATTAGACAGCCAGTTATTTTTTCCTCTATTAATATCATTTAACATTGATGTATATAAGTATCTAACTATAACATTATTACTGTTAACAATATTTGACCAAAATTTGATAATCCGTACATATCTGTTTACATATAAAGGGTACCTTTTCAGCTCACCATAAATAGCCATGCTGCTAGTTGACTGTTTAACACATAACATGGACTTACAAAATTTTAGATGTACTCGTTCGATTTCCTTACTTTTACTAAATCCCCATATTTCACAGGCATAATTTAAAATAGATACAACAAAAGCATCAAATAATTGCAAAGAAGTACTAAATTTAACCGGTGTCTGTTTTAAATTAAACAATAAAACGTTTAACGCCTTAAGAGCTTTCCCTACTAAATACTCTTGATTTAAGGTAAAACTACCTGTATAGTTGAAAACAGTACCTAAATAATTGAAATTGTCGACTTTTTCTAAGGGAATATTATTATATGTCCAATACTCATTATTTCTAATCGGACCCCTCTTCCTAAAAACCATAACCTTACTTTTGCCTTCATTTACTTTAAGGCCCCATAAAGTGCAGTAATTATATAATGTATTTAAACTATTTTGTAAGTCTTCAGGGGATTTACTTAAAATAACAATATCATCAGCAAATAACATGAGAATAAATGTAATATCATCTAATGTTAAACCAGAATTAATATCATTTAATAAATACATTTCTAAATCTTCTAAAAACATAGAAAACAATATCGGGGACATTACCTCCCCTTGTTTAAGACCAATTGAACATTCCAGGAAATCTGAATATGATTTACAGCCCCTTATTCGTGCTTTTACTTTAGAGTACATATCATGGATGATTCTTAAAGTTTTTCCACGTACACCAATGTTATATAGTTTAAACCATAAACCATTACGATAAACACTATCAAAAGCCTTTTGAAAATCTATAAAGGCACATGCAAGACGTCCATTTTCATTTAAAATTTTATTAACAACAGCATTTAAAACAAATATAGCATCAACTGTGGAGCGACCCTTCCTAAATCCAAACTGTGCATCACTAATTTTGTCGTTTTCTTCAGACCATTTTGTCAATCTGTTATTCAGAACACCTGTAAATATCTTTGAAAAACAACTAACGAGACTGATTCCTCTATAATTACTAGCAAGTGCAGGGTCATTTTTCTTAAACAGAGGTACAATAATACTTTCCATCCATGAATCTGGAAAAAAGCCAGAGTTCAGAATACCATTAAAAATATCAACTAAATGCGATGATAAAATATCGGACGAATTTATAAAATACTCATTCAATAACTGGTCACCTGCAAAAGCCTTATTTTTCTTTAGATGACGAATAACACAATTTATCTCATCAACTGTTATAGGTTCATCTAGCTCCTCGTACAGTACATCATTACTTAAAAAATCTAAATTTTCACAAAATAATTCACTTTCGGCATGCAAAACATTTGGCAAATCATTACTTAAGGTAGAAAAATGCTCATAAAAATCTTCTATGGAAACACTATTCTTATGTATCGTCTTTTTAGTAAACAATTTCCAAAAATCTTTAGGTTTACAGTGACGAAGGCGTTCAATTTCTCTTAATTTTTTTAACTCATAACTACGTTTCTTTTTTTTAACAACATTTTTATAAATTAGTTTATTATTACAAAATTCTATTCTATTTACATCATTTTTACACATATTATATTTATATACAGAATTTAAATATATCTCTTTTAAACGTTTGCAATCTTCATCAAACCACTCCGCCTTTTTACATAGTTTACCATTGGCACGTGGCGTAATATATGTTATTCTACGTTTACAAAATAATGGATCTGCCACGCTTCTCACAACATTTACAAAGGATTCTATACATGAATTTAACTGTAATCTATCGTTAAAATCAACATTTTCGGTAATAGTATTTAAACGTGGTAGTTGTGATATAAGACCTCTACGGAATTCGTTTTGTAACTCATCATTCCATCGTAAACTTAGGCTTTCATAATAAATATCATTATCCTCGCGCAATACGTGGCATTTAATAGAAAATGATATTGGAGCATGATCAGACCATTCATTAAAACTCTGTACAGAGAAATCGCTAACTAAACTGAAATATTGCTCTTTCAACAACAGATAGTCAATGACACTAGATCCCGATGAACATATATAAGTATAGTTTCCATTATTAAAGTCACGACCAAGCCTACCATTTGCCATACGTAAAGAACTAGCCTTGCATACATCTAATAATTTAATACCCGAGTTATTATGTATACAGTCCATGGACACACGTTCTATAGGCATGTCGGGGTAATAATCATCATAGTCCTGTAAAACTAACGGTACGATCACAGACAATATAATCCTTGCGGTCGCCATTACCTGTACGTGCATTCCAATCACCAGTTAACAATGTAATACCAAATTTTTCATAAAGTAAAATATCGTTTTGAACAATATCAAATAAATCACCATTGATAAAGTTATAAGCAGGGGAACCTTCCACCCATATATATACACCAGCTAAATATATGTCATCTGTAAGATTAAAAAATATTTTATCAAGTTTCAACCAAATGATAGTGTCAAAATGATTCTGTACAACGGTAACCCCTTTACTTATTTCATTTTTAATGTATACTAATACCCCACCACTAGATCGCTTTGCTCGCCGGTTCTGAAATTTACGATAGAAATTAAAAGTTGCATACCCATCTATATCAAAATTAGAATTTTTATTACCCCAAGTCTCAAACAAAAATATAATATCGTTATTACACAGTTTCTTTATAAAATCATTGTCCTCTAATTTAGATCTATTAAGTCCATTTACATTCCATGATAATATGGACAGTCCAGCCTCATCGAGTCCCTACTTCCGGTTCCCGTTCTGCATCTGGCTTCTGTCGGACTCTTTATCGCTTACTGGTACCCCGTCAATAAAAAGCGTGTCGTAGAAATATGAAAGTTTTGATAGTAGTTTAATGTAGTAGTTTATTTTCATTGTGTACATATGCATATTGTTTTACATTCATTTATCAAATTAGCTAAAGAGTAAAATTTTTAAGTCTAAACATGTTTTGTTGTTATTATTTCCTAAACGGCTTTTAAAAAGAAAAAAATGCAATTTTTTTTTTACTTCTCAAATTGATTTTTTCATTTTGTGTTTACAGATATAGGTTGTGAAATGGATATTATTGGCCATACACCTGAATCTTATTATACGCCTGTTTGAAAAATGTTTTGTATTATAGTTTTCCCCAGGGGTGTTTAGTTACCCCCAGGCGTGTATAGTTTCCCCCAGGCGTGTATAGTTTCCCCAAGGGGTGTAGGCGGGCGGCAACCAATTTTGTCGGTAGCATATCTCCTACATGCATGGAGGAATTTTAACAAAACATCATAGAAATGTTCACCACTATGAGAAGCTGTGTCGCGCACATGAACTAAGTCAAAGGTCCAGAGGTCAAGGTCACACTGAAAGGTCATTTAAAAAACGCTTGTCCGGAGCAAAACTTATACATGCATAGAGGGATTTCAATGTAATTTGGCACAAATGTTCACCATTGTGAGGCAGAATGTTGGGTGCAAAATTCAAGTGTCTGTGTTCAAGGTCATACACAGGGGTCAAAGTTCAGATGAAAGTGTGTATCAGGACCCTTTTGCCATCCTTTATTGAGGAATTGAAACACAAATGGTCGTTATCATGACAACGAGTGTGAAGCATGTAATTTAGGTTAATATAAGCAAGGCTAAGGTCACTAAAGATGATAAAATATAGAGATTTTGTCCAGAGCATATCTCTTACATGCATGGTGGGATTCCAATGAAACTTCGTAGAAATGTTCACCACTATAAGAAGCACTGTCACGTGCATGGACCAGGTCTCTTGGTTAAAGGTTAAGGTCACACTTGGAGGTGTTTGAAAAATACTTGTTCGGAGCCGAACTTCTACATTCATTTGGGACTTGGCGCAAATGTCTGAGGCTTAGTATTGCACACATAATCCAAGTCACTGCTACCAAAATCAAGGCCACATTGCGAGGTCAAACGGGGCATAAAGCTAGTTATTATATAGTAATTGTATGGCACTTAAAGACAAAATACTACTTATTTATTTTTAAATTTCCTTCATTAATGATGAATTATATCACAGTCCCTGTTTGCTCACTTAGCCCAATAAGGAGAGCATTGGATCAGTAATAAAAGGGTCGCTGGTTCAATCATCGGGCGAGATATAATTTTAGGGCAGGTGTAATTTTTTATGACTATTAAACTGGTACATTGACTCTAATGGGTGTTTGCTTTCTTACAACTGATTCTTAAAAATTATTGGGATTAGTAATCGGTCATTTGCGTGGGGTAATTGGCAATTGCTGCTAAGTTATCATGGAAAGTCTGTCGCCGAGAAACTGCCCCCCCACACATTCCATGATTTATCAGTCTACAAAAGACGGGGGCAGACGACCAAGGGCAAATCTTTGTAATTTCCAATGTAGAATAGCTGTGCATTTGGATATATATTTTATGATTAGACTTCACTACTAATGTCGACTTTAATAATGTAATTGTTCGGTATGTCTGAGGCTGTGTTTTTTATGTCAAATTGACACCAATGAAGAATAATACAATAATTAGCATATCAATATTTATTGCACATATAACATTAAAGATTTCAGTTTACAAAATACTAGTCATGTAGCATGCAAGATGGGTACAAATAATGAAATTTAAAGCAAAGGCATGGCACTTTCTGTTTCCCTTTTTCTTGCAAGTTGAAAAGCAGCTTTACAATTCCTGCAGCACATGTGGCACTAACAAAACGAAAGTTATTTATTTTTTTAGCAAAGTTTTGGATAAATGAAACGAAATGTTTACAAATGATTTAGTTTGTACATTTGTTCATGCAAGCTTCCATGGTGTTGAAATTATTTTCTGAGCCACCACATCCTGACCACGCAAATTGTTCACATTTTTTACTGATGCTGTTGTAGTAGTAACGAAGGATAATCTTGCTACAGTCTCCATATTCAACCTGGTATAAGCAGATGGGCGGTGTTGGGCGTGGCGTTGATGTCACAGGGGCGGGGGTTGTAGGCTGCTTTGTTGAGCATGTCTGCTGACACGTTTCCAGGGTAGAGAATCGATTTCGGTTACCATCGCAACCAAGATACGTGAATTTCCTGCAGCAATCACAATGTTTGTCGTAGTAATACTTAATTGTAGAGTTGTTATTACAGTTGGTACCAATTGATGGTCGCTTTCTGCATCTGTTCTTCAATGTTGCACGTTCGCACGTGTTCTTACACTGTGCTACAGAAAGAAATCTATTCGTATTGCCTCCTGAGCCTTGATACTGAAACATTTCACATTGCTCTGTGTCTTTATTATAATAATAACGTGTGATTTTATGAGGTCCTTCACCGACGTCTTTAGAATTAGCGCACACGCACCTGGTGTAACAATTCTCAGATGTTAGGAAGTTGTTGAGATTGCCTCCACAACCTGTGTAGTTAAATTCCATACAAAATCCAATCGTTGCGTCATAGTAGTATCTACGAACATTGTCCGTGCAATCACCTTCATCCTTCAACAGTGCACATTCTGTAATAGAAAAAATGCTCTAAACTTATTTTTTCGTGATTAATGTGATACTGGATTGTACTGGTGAAATATATTTCATATTTCTAACTAACAATTATTTTATCAGTGAGATAAAAATCAATTCCATTTGCTGTATATCTAATCGGTTAACTTTAAATTAAAACATTTTACTTTTTTCATGAAACGTGTTTTTGTTTGTTTGAAATTATCTAATATTGCTTCTTTGTTTATCAGTGAAATATGTATAATATTTTCATTCCAGCAAATTATTAGGTCATTGTCAGTATCATTCTTCACACGATAACTTACCCTGGTCGATTTTTATAATTATATTCATTTACTTATTTCATTTTGATACATTTATTGACAATACAGGCAGAACTTTTAGTATCAGTTAAAAATAATTTCGTTAAAAAATAATTTTATTACAATAGAAATATCCTCATACCTGGATTTATTGCCTGTATATTGACGTCTGCTACTACGTCTGCAACGGTACCCGTCCCCTTGGGCGTAATAACACTTCCCGTACACGTGCTTATGTAAAAACTGACCATTAAGCCAGCCAAACAATACATCATCGTCATCTTTTTTTTCTTTCTGAAAACAAAAATATAATTCACTTTGCTATCTTTCTAGTTACTAGTATATGAAATTCTTAAAATAATGTTTAAAGATATTTGAGATATTGTATAATTGCATATCAAGTTTGGCTGTACGCGGTTGCTAAACGAGAACAATTTACTTGCAAAAAGACATATAGTTGTTGTTTAAGCAGCGTTACTTGATTACATAACAATCGTGGTGAAAAGCAATGAATAAAAAAGTACCTTTTTTCCGTGAAGTTTTCTTGTACGTTCCCTTGCCTTGTTCAATCACCAGGTTGAGTTGATCTGAAGTCTTAGATTTCTGCACGCTTCTTAAATACTTTATTTCCTACGTAAACGACCTTCAAACGGTGTGAGCATTGACGTCACGACCCGTTGACCAACGTCCAGCTTAGCCAATGACGATCGCGACATGTAAATTGATTACGATGGTGAATGGTCAGAAATATTTCAGGTGTAAACGGTGTTAACGGGCTTGGCGAGGTTGTATTTTACGTACACGTTAATAAAAACGTCAACGTTATTATTGTCCGACGTCTGACCTTTTTAAAAGTGGTTACAGATAGTAGAGAGATATTGCATTAATTGTTTGGTTTCTATTTAAAACATAACATACTGAAAAGTTTTTTACGGTATTTTTATTGTTACCATTTAATTTTTAATATTTTATTTTTAATTAATTCATTTATTTCTTTTGATTTTATTTGGCATTTTAATGTCTCTTTTATCAAGGAAGATGTTAAAAGAAACTCATTTGTTCAGGTTCAATTGCAAAATGTATTTCAAAGGGCCTGAAAATCGCATTTTAGTACTTAAGCACAAAGATGAAGAATTTTTTCTTGGTGCACAAGTTTGAGCTTACTGCAGTTTGAATATTGTTGACAGCATATACATGTACAGCAAAAAAAACACGCTTGTTTATGAATAATAAACATTTCTGCGTATTGTATTGTTCAGGTTATTTTTGGTTTTTCGTCTGTACGTCTGATAATGAGGAAAGAAAACAACCATGGAAATAGCAAATCTTAATTTGTTATTATCCACATATTCTACCAACAAATAAACAAGCAAACAACATAACTTTCAGGATATCTCTTTCGGCGCTAATTTCTAGAACCATAGATTATATGTGTCACACATGAGTTTAATTAAATGCATTTATTCACATTTCGAACAACCCTGGGTTTAAAGTTGCATGCCTCCAAATGAGCCAAAATATTACAAGAAAATCAAACTTGAGAGAAATGCTCTTAGATTTTAAGCGAAGTAAAAAGATTAAAGTAATAATTGAGCCGCGTCATGACAAAACCAACATAGTGCGTTTGCGACCAGCAAACGTCTATGTCGTTTTCCCACTGCGTCTAGGTCGCCCTGGGGACGCTGTCTTAGCTCGCAAATCCGGTGTGGTGGAGGTAGCGGTATTACTGGTTTTGAGCAATAAAATGATTATTCTGGGCAAATGATCCGAAATTTTGAACATAGACCTGCATCAGAAAGACAACAACAACAAAATCGCGGGAAAATATGTAAAGTCCCGCCATGTTAAAACCCCGCAGTGGAGTCGCTTTAAAGTATGGCGCCATGTAATTGTTACCAAATTAAAACTAGATGTACATATCCCTATCCTATTTAACATTTTAATACTTTTTACGGAACCTGAGTCTTTCAAATAGAAAGATTTATTTTTAACATAAATTTAGGAATTACGGACAGGGCGGACCGTGAGATAGGGCGGACCGTACCAGGGCGGACCGTATGTTTGGACGGGGCGGACCATATCTTGGTCGTAGGACTTTTCTTCTTCTTTTAATATCATTATAAACATATACATATATTAATACAGTTTATTAATTTAGAATAAATTTGTTTAATGAAATTAATAAAAACAGCATATAGAGTTTGACATTATGCAGGTGATAATTGAACAATTATTTGGATATTACATGTCATTGTTTAATAAATAATAAGAGTATAACAATACGATACGGAAAAGGCTTAATTGTTATTCACGTCTGACATTTGAAACACAATACATAACAATAGCGTAAAATGATGATGAGTGACATTACAAAAATAAACACTAAAGATAGACAAAATTAACATTGCACACAGAAAAGATGACTTATCTATTTGACAGATATACTTAAACACAATGACGAAGTCAGATAAACATAATAATTATATACATGTACAAAAGTTAAAAATGCATGAATATATCCATTTATTTACATTTTAACATATTTATATACTCATATACACACATAATATAATGCACAAATATACACGGCCATTAAGGCTTGCGCAACTTTCAAGAAATGTTTTGGTGGAAAGTGTCTTGTTGGAATACTCTATCTATAATGTCATCAATTTTGACTGCATGCTCCTGGTTGACCTAAATTTTGATTCTTTTGACAAGTTAGTTTATAATGAGAAATTATTTTTGTGCTTAATTAAGGTGTTGTCTGTATAGCGATTTGATATACATGTATACATTTCTTGGTTTTCATATTAGTAACGAATTAACTAATATAAATTATCATTTCTCCTCTATACAGATTAAATGTTATGATTGGTATATATATATATAGGACTTAGAACCGTTTTTGCATAAGCATATTTGATAAATATATCTTTTCTTTAAATAAAATGGTTAAAAAAATGTGTAAAACATACAACTTTGGTTTCAAATGTTTTTTTTTTTATTAATAACATTACTTATTGGTGAATTAATTTTAAAATATGTCAATTAAATCTAAAATTTCATAAAATGCCCGTTTTCTCAAGATAAAGTTAAATAACGTAAGGTACCATCTTGCACCCATTCAAATGCATGGCTAAATGTTAATAATCTGTTCAGTATGAAAATTCTTAAATATATGACATGTTTAGGCCGACATTGATATATCACGTAGGCTACAGACATGCATATGCCTACAATATTGTTGATACCAAAAGATAAAAAATAAATGAAATAGCAATATTTAATTTGAAATTAAGCACGGCCCTCCTCGTCTCGAGTCACGGTCCGCCCTGTCCTAAAATATGGTCCGCCCTGTCCATACATAAGGTCCGCCCTGGTACGATCCGCCCTGTCTCACGGTCCGCCCTGTCCTACGACCAAATTTAGGCCTATCATGTTGTATAAGTAACATTCTTTTTTTTTACTATTCAGTGTTTGTCTTCTTTTGTTGGTGTCCTTTCTGTTTAAGCGCGCAGCCTAGGATTAGTGCGCAGTCTTAACGGGACACCGTAGGCTACTTAGTTTATGGCGTATTCAGTACACCATAGTTTGCGCTCGGTGAAAATGAGGTCAGGGTTGCAATGACTATTTTCATTGTTTACAAACTGCGGAGTAATATATAAAGTTATTAAAGATCTCACCATATCGAACACTATTTCGGTAAGCTTCTTGTGACTTTCTCAACATATTATATATTAGACTAAACAAATAGTCTTTGATCTTTTCATTAAACCAACTTTAACCAACCTTAAATCAGAACTAGTTTTTGTCGCACATGAATGTTATTGAACACAGCTGATCAGTGTTTATTTACAAGTCTGCAAAGATTGAGGTCAGCAAAAGATATTTCGCCTTCACTGTATCTAATGACAATTTATTGGTAAGAACCTTTTGCATTTTATATGAAATGTTATATTATTTATATAATGAATGTTTCTTTAAATATAGCTGTCACTGATTAAAATCGTCAAGTTGGTCGAAAAATAATAATGTAAACAAAAATGGCGGGAGGGATTTTTAGCCCAGCCATTTTCAGACAAGAATTTTAAGAAGCTCGATCGGAAAATATCCTTCGAAGATTCACCTGGGACAGTTTTTGTTCGTTGACAGATACTTAATGGTTTTGTTTTAAATGAAAAGTATTGGTAATTTGACGTTAGTGTTGTGAGAAAATTGTGATAGACTTCTGACCTTGTTTTGTTTTTGTTAGGTGTCAAGCAGTGCACAAAGAAAACTTACAAGTAAATTGAATTCATTCGCTTCCCTCTGTTTATAGATATATTTAAGAAAGTTTCTGGTAGATATACAGCTTACTTAAAATTTATCTTCTGTCTGTATATCATGATAATTTTAAAAACAAAACAAAAACTATCCAGATCTATTTCTATCTGCTATATATATGCACACAGACTCACAGTACTGTAGTATATTCTATAATTTTTCATTCCCTTAATAGATCTAACTATGTTATTAGATCTAGATCAAATAAGTGTGGATTCAGCTAATTTAATTTATGAAGAGTTCATCAGTCTTATGTTGTTACAGTAATTAAACTAATTAATCACAACTATGATTGAATGAAAATATTAAATGGGACTGGTGGCCTAGTGGTTAAGTTGTCTGCCTCTCAACCCAGGGATTATGGGTTTGAGGGTTATTCGGGTCATGATCATGATTCCTCATATGACACCAGTACTGATTACATGCAAAACCAGGAATCAGACTCGAAACTGATTAATAAAATTAATTTGCAAGAACTTGTTTCACAATCAAGCTATTAGAAGTAAATTTTATATGTGTAAACTAAAACATATTTAATTCAAATCTGTTAACTATAAACATATTACTTAAATACTTTATTTATTCAATATGTTCTGCAAAAGTTTGTTTACATTTATATGTGTGTATTTATATAATAATTGTAAAATTGTAAATACAGTAAAAATCCTCTATTGAGACTATCAACAGGACTGGACCAAGAGGTCTTAATTGAGGTGTGGTCTTATGAGTCACTAAATATTATCAAAGGATATATATTTTTTTACCACAGTTTATTTTTGCCATTTTGTATGAATATATTAAAACAATAAGTATTCAAATACTTCTGTAAAAAACATGTTATAATATTTTATCAGATAAGAGCAAAACGTAATTTACATGTAGGAGAAATATATATAAAATATAAGATTTTATTTGTCTTGTTTCAGTAATTATCAAATAAGTATATTTTTTTTTTCACAAAATAAAAATGCAGAAAGGAAAATTGAACCGCTCTGAAATTTATTTTCTCACCTTTATACAGTATTCGAATCATAAGAGTTTAAATATCTTGTTCTATTAAGTGTCATGTCTTAAGTGCATTAATGCAGATAATAACAACATACTTGCAGTGACTTTGGTCAAATAATAAAGAATAAAACAACGAATTGGGGCAGAAAATGGTTGTCTTAATTAGTGGATAACAGGGGGGTCTTACTTGTGAATCATTTAACCATTGACTTCTAGATCTTTTAAAAAAAATGGTCTTAATGGTGGTCTTTATTCCAGGGTGGTCTTAAGAAGGGTGTCACTGTCGACTCTACTGTAATTTGAATCTTCAATGGTCTTATTTAAAATTCATGAAAAACAACAAATTAACACCTACAATAATAATTAATTGACGTTCATTATAGTATGAAATAGTCTCTATGTCTTTTCCACTTTCACCGTATAAGATGATCTACTGTTCTTTGTTTTAATAAAATTTTGTTTGTCCTCTTTAGATTAAGAAATCACGATGAATATGAAAACGCCTAAATACCTACTTGACAGTGATCCACTGTTGACTAATGTGCCACAAGTTGAAGGTAACATGGAGGTAACCAATACTGAGTGGACAGTAGAGGAACTTGAAAGTGCTGAAAGACAGGTAAAACTTAACTAAATCATTTCAGTCACTAAGTGTTTCTGTTCTACCTATAATACCAGACCAAAAGATAATCCTCAGACTTGTGAATTATAACTCATTGTGATGCATGCTTTTCTTTACTCCAGGTTGTATAATAGTTCAGTCCTGGGGCTTGCTTTTAAATGGAAATTCATATGTTATAAAGCCCCAGAAATGCCATTATTTTTTGTTTAAGTAAACATTTAATTTATTTCTGACATCTTGTTAAAGTTTCTAAAACGTGCCTCATTGGTCATATAGCTTAGCAACTGGTGTTTTGGCAATTTGCACAGTTATGGGGATAAAGTGTTTTGTATGGAAGTCAAAATACCACTTTTTGATACCTTTTTTACAGGTTGAACAAGTATTAATGGAGGAAGCTTTTATTGAAGCTTGCTTTGAAGAAATGCTGGAAGAGGAGGAGTCACAATGGTACCATTACACAGTAATTCCTACACCGATGACACAATACACAACTACACATTACACAACATATATGCCCAACTTACAGTACACAACACATACATCAACTCTTCAGTTCCCTATGCCGATACCCCAGGGACAAAGTATTGATACAAATATCAACAGTGTACTTTATCAATGTAGTGAACAGTTTTCAAACGAACAGAAATACTTGTTGGTAAGTTTACTAAGTAGCATTATACTATATCTTATTTGAAGTTCAGTTAATACATTAAATTTTGTATTAAATTCCTAAGATGCAGATTCCAGAAAACATTTATTAAACCATTATATTTTTACAAAAACATTTGTAATTAGCATTAAAGTCAATAGACACAGGGTAGACTTTTTTGTGTTCACAAGTCTGATCCTTGTGCAGTATGTTTTTCTGTGACAACAAAGTCACTGATTTGTTACCCACATGACAAATTTTATGACTTATGTAGAAAAGTTGAAAAGTACTTTAGGTGAATGGCAAGTACTGGTATAGAATTCAGGAACTTTGACTATGTAATTGCTTGTACATCTTTGCTGAAGGGTTATTGTCGTCCCGGGTACTACTTTTAGGTCACCCTGATAGTAGACAGTACAGACCCAGTTAATAAAAAGTACTAATTGCTAGCTGATAATACAGAATAGCCCCCAAAAAATAAATAAAGGCGCCAAAAATTGATATTTTTTAACATTAAAGCAGCTTTTGATTGCAGCAAATAAAAAGTGAGTAGCATTGGAGTTTGAGAAAAACATAGTTAGTAAAATAAATCTTAAAAGATCCCTTTTCACCGTCCCTTCCCTTTCTTACAAGTATAGTACCAGGGACAATAATAAACCCAACAGTGCCAGTACATATGTGAAATAATAATAAAGGTTATGAAAAGAGGAGATCTCTTAAGGGCAACGAGAACAAAGAAAAAAATCACATACTTTGTTCTGTTGAATGAACTGTGTATGTAAGGTATGTTGCTGTACTGAAGCTAAACCCAATGAAATGAATAAATTTTAACTGCGGTATTTTATCTACTTAATTGAAATTAATGCCTAATTTGCAGGCTGCTAAGTTTTTTTTGTAACTGTTGATTATATTTGGATGATACAAACTGAACATGTCTTCTTTTTTTGTGAACATTTGGCTTTGAAAGATGTTTCATTTAGGTTAATAACCGTTATGAAATATAGATATGATATGAAATATTTTTTTTGCATTTTTCAGACAAGTAAACTGAATCCTGAGGCACCAGAGTTCATTCCGCGCAGTGTGGCTTCATAGCATAAATACTCCAGTGGTATTGTTACTACGCGGGCTTTCAGCAAAGCTGTCTGTGTCTCTAAAAGAATGATGCCTCGTCACTCAAGTGCTAAATTAGTAATCACCAAATACATCCAAGTATACAAAAAAAACTACAAAAATATTGGAAAAAAAATCATTTTTTTAGCTTAAAAAAAGGATGGTTTAAACCGGAAGCATCGGATATGTTATAGTGAAATCCAACATTATTTGTATTGTGATATAAACAAATGATACGATATAGGTTCGTACAAGTTGACTACAAGACAATCTTCTGCAAAGATGTGAAAACTCACCAAGCGTCACCCTTCCACTACAGTTTTGGTTGCCATGACTACAACATAGTTGTCTTGATATGCTGGTAAATTTAAAACATAAATTTTATCATCTACATTAAGTACATATATAACAAGGATGACATTATACTATGGTTTTCATGTAATCAAAACAGGCATTGATTGCATGGTGAACAAAATATCATGCAAATTTAAATAAGCATATAGATGCCATGTCTCAGGTTAATTTTTTGTAATATTCATTTACTGATACATGTTTTTATGATTGAAATATGTTAATCAAGCCTGTCTGGTTCTGGCATATTCAGTTGTGTTATTTCATTTCATACCTAATATTATTGTCGCATTTGGCGCCATTGGCAAGCGACAGCGGGAACCCTGTAATATACTTAGTAAAGTTAGATGAAGAACAATAAAACCCAGAATTTTGAGATTTAAAACATATCAAATGGCCTTTAAAATCAAGAGTATTATGTTAGTTATTAAACTTTTGTTTCAGTTTATTTATACCATATAAAGATTCTGATAAAACAGTTAATTTATTTTTTTTGTTACGCTGTAATCTTTAGCCTGCCGGGTTTGGGTTGGTATTATCTACCCAAGTGACCATTGCTGGCCCAGCCATGGCAGCTTGCACATCCATGCCGCACATGTTTTGAAAATTTACTTAAAAATAATCAATAGTTTAGTCCTGATTGAAAGATTGACGAGTCCATATATAATGATATTTAGGATGGCGCATATAAGGATTTATATTCTTTTTTTTTTCAAGACAAATAGACGTTTGAAAGTGTAGGCTAATTTAAGGCTGTAAATGTATTAAGTTTCTCTAGCATATGAGTACAGCAATAAATGTTCGCATGTGTACAGGTGATAAAAGAGAGATAAATCCTAATATTTCTTACCCAACAATGTCACTTTTATAATTTGTTTGTGCTGTTTTTATTAGAAAAGTGCCATAAACCATAATAAGGTGACCTATACATCTCAAAATTTAAGTCTGTCTTGTTATTATGAAAAACATTTTCATTTCCTATGTCTGTGTAGCAGTACAGTGATTTTTTTAAAAACATTTTTTTTTTTGCAATACATTAAATTGGAAAATTTCAGTGTGGTAAAGTACCGTAAACATTAGAAAATCAAACAATTTTAACAAAGCTATTAACAAAATAATTTAAATATTTGCTTTCCCCCCAGATAATAATTTAGTATTTTATATATATAAAAGGTGTATTTTAAAAACAAAATTACATTTAATAGGTATAAAATATATTGGTTGGAAAAGATGAAATTTGGAGTTTTCAACAGATATATGGTTTGGTAAAAAGCCTATTTGACATAATTCTATTCAGCCTTTGAATTAGACACATCAGACTCTGTATGTAGCTAATTGTGTTAAAATGCTCATAAATTGGACATAATACAAGTAATAAGTTACCTGGTTGTCATGACATCTGCATTTAACTTTAAGGTTTTTTATTGTGTGCACCATTTTATTACGGTATTAGACAATGTGTTGGTCCTAATATCATTCCTTAAATGCTTTCTGGTTTAAACAAAAAATTAAATAAAAAAGACATAAAAATGCTTTTAAAAATACCAAAAAAAAATTATGAAATAATTGATGTTGTATTTAAAAAAAAATTGTATTGGATAAAGAAATGTATTTAAACTTGTATTTCTTATTGATTGTTTAAAATCTACAGATTTATTTTGCTGAATATCTTTCTTCTTATTTAACAGTGACTTTTTATTCAAAGAATAATTAATGTGAATAAAAGCACATTTTTGAATGCAGTATGGAAATAATTAATAAAATTGAGGACAGTATGAAATTATAAGCTGTCAAAATAGCTTTAATAGATCTGAAGATTTTAATGGGTAAACTAATTTTTTTCTTTTCACATATTTACTTATTATTGTTGACTTGAAAAAAAAATGAAAAAAAAAAATATTGCAAAAAAAAAATTAAAATAGACTGTTCTAAGGTTTTCAGCTATGAATGTTACATGCCATAGGTAAAATTGTATTTTCAGAGGTTTTTCAACTGTTGTACTAGTATCTAAACAGTCAGTCAGTTATTATAACGTGTTACATTGAGCTTATATACATGTATGTCAGTATATTTTTTCTCCACATTTTGTTTATTTTGCCCCATTAAAGGCCTACTCTTTGCACCCCCCTTTTCCTCTTTATTTTTATGCCCTTCTCTAAGGGGAACTTTTTTTCTTGATCAACTTTTTTCTTGGTCTACATATTTATGTATGATCCTGGGGGCTTCATACTTTAAAATAACTTTCTTTTGATGTATTAAATTTAAAATGTGACGCTAGTCACGCTTGCCCTTTATTAACATTTACCTTTAAGGTCAAATTAAAAAAATATGTATATAGAAATTTGACATTTTTTTTGCATTTCATTTCGATGTACTCGAATATGGCATTAACTCTTAAAGGATCTTTGTCCTGAGGTCAGTTTGTCAAAATTCAAGACGTTTCAGCATAACTTATTATTTGATAAACATAGTTTTCAGACTATTTATTTTTTTTTTTAGCTCACCTGTCACAAAGTGACAGGGTGAGCTTTTGTGATCGCTTTTCGTCCGGCGTCCGTCCGTCCGTCGTCCGTCCGTCGTCCGTCGTCCGTCCGTAAACTTTTGCTTTAAATGACATCTCCTCATAAACCACTGAGCCAATTTCATCCAAACTTCACAGGAATGTTCCTTTGGTGGTCACCTTTAAAAATTGTTCAAAGAATTTAATTCCATGCAGAACTCTGGTTGCCATGGCAACCGAAAGAAAAATCTTTAAATATCTTCTTTTAAACAACCCTAAGAGCTAGAGCTTAGATATTTGGCATGAAACATCTTCTAGTGAGTGTCTACCAAGTTTGTTCAAATAAAAGCCCTGGGGTCAAAATTGGCCCCGCCCCAGGGGGTCATTGATTTTCCCAATATGCATATAGTAAAAACTTAAAAAATCTTCTTTTAATGAACTGTAAGAGCTAGAGCTTAGATATTTGGCATGAAACATCTTCTAGTGAATGTCTACCAAGTTTGTTCAAATAAAAGCCCTGGGGTCAAAATTGGCCCCGCCCCAGGGGGTCATTGATTTTCCCTATATGCATATAGTAAAAACTTAAAAAATCTTCTTTTAAAGAACCGTAAGAGCTAGAGCTTAGATATTTGGCATAAAACATCTTCTAGTAAATGTCTACCAAGTTTATTCAAATAAAAGCCCTGGGGTCTAAATTGGCCCCGCCCCAGGGGGTCATTGATTTTCCCTATATGCATATTGTAAAAACTTAAAAAATCTTCTTTTAAAGAACTGTAAGAGCTAGAGCTTAGATATTTGGCATGAAACATCTTCTAGTGAATGTCTACCGAGTTTGTTCAAATAAAAGCCCTGGGGTCCAAATTGGCCCTGCCCCAGGGGGTCATTGATTTTCCCTAAATGCATAAAGTAAAAACATAAAAAATCTTCTTTTAAAGAACCCAAAGAGCTAGAGCTAAGATATTTGGCATGAAACATCTTCTAGTGAATGTCTACCAAGTTTGTTCAAATAAAAGCCCTGGGGTCAAAATTGGCCCCGCCCCCGGGGTCATTGATTTTCCCTATATGCATATAGTAAAAACTTAAAAAATCTTCTTTTAAAGAATCGTAAGAGCTAGAGCTTAGATATTTGGCATGAAACATCTTCTAGTGAATGTCTACCAAGTTTGTTCAAATAAAAGCCCTGGCGTCAAAATTAGCCCCGCCCCAGGGGGTCATTGATTTTCCTTATATGCATATAGTAAAAACTTATTAAATCTTCTTTTAAAGAACCCAAAGAGCTAGAGCTAAGATATTTAGCATGAGACATGTTCTAATGGGTGTCTACCAAATATGTTCAAATAAAAGCCCTGGGGTCAAAACTGGCCCCGCCCCGGGGGTCATTGATTTTCCTTATATACATAGCAAAAACTTAAAAATCTTCTTTGAAAAAACCCAAATAACTAGAGTTTAGAAATTAAGCATGAAACATCTTTAAGTAAATACCTACAAAGTTTGTTCAAATAAAAGCCCAGGGGTCAAAACTGGCCCTGCCCGAGGGGTGTCATTGTTTTTAACTATATGTGTATAGTAAAAACTTAAAAAATCTTCTTTTAAAAAACCCAATGAGCTAGAACTTAGATGTTTTGCATGAAACATCTTCTTATGGGTGTCTACCTGAAGTCTGTTCAAATAAACAAATAAAAGCCCTTGGGTAAAAATTGGGGGGGGGGGGGGGCTATATACAGGTGAGCGACCTCAGGGCCATCATGGCCCTCTTGTTTTAATATATCCTGTTTTAACAGCGAAATGAAAAACTTTTAAATGGTAAGTCATTGTCAGATACCCACCCTTCATTGACTTGTAATCATGTTAATTGTCAGGGCGTTGCTATCCGACAATGATGTAGAGTAGGACTGGTGATAAAATACAATTGAGCCGCGTCACGACAAAACCAACATAATGCGTTTGCAACCAGCACGGATCCAGACCAGCCTGCGCATCCACGCAGTCTAATCAGGATCCATGCTGTTCTCTTACCAACTCTATAACAAGTAGAGAAACTGATAGCAAACAGCATGGATCCTGATCAGACTGGTCCACTTTTGCGCAGGCTGGTCTGGATCCATGATGGTCGCAAACACATTACGTTGGTTTTGTCATGACGGGGCTCAATTATTCATGATTTTTATGCCACCGCAGCATCTGCGATGCGGTGGCATATAGCGATTCACCTGTGTGTGTGTGTGTGTGTGTGTGTTTGTTTGTGTGTGTGTGTGTGTTATATAGATTATATAGTGAACTTAAAAAATCTTCTTGTGAAAAACCACTAGTCCAATTTCAACCAAACTTGGCAGGATTGATCCTTGGGTGAAGTGGTTCCAAAGTTGTTCAAAGAATTGCATTCCATGCAGAAATCTGGTTGCCATGGCAACCACAAGGAATTAAAAGAATAAATTTAAAAAATCTTCTTGTAAAGACCCAAAAGGCCTAGAGCTTAGATATTTTGCATAAGGCATTGTCTGGTACACCTCTACCAAGATTGTTCAAATTATAGCCCTGGGGTCAAAATCGGCCCCGCCCCGGGGGTCATTGATTTTCACTATATGTACATATAGTAAAACCTTAAAATACCTTCTTGTAAAGACCCAAAAGGCCTAGAGCTTAGATATTTTGCATAAGGCATTGTCTGGTAGACCTCTACCAAGATTGTTCAAATGATAGGCCTGGGGTCAAAATTGGCCCGGCCCCAGGGGTCATTGATTTTCACTAAATGTACATATAGTAAAAACTTAAAATACCTTCTTGTAAAGACCCAAAAGGCATAGAGCTTAGATATTTTGCATAAGGCATTGTCTGGTACACCTCTACCAAGATTGTTCAAATGATAGCCCTAGGGTCAAAATCAGCCTGCCCCGGGGGTCATTGATTTTCACTATATGTACATATAGTAAAAACTTAAAATACCTTCTTGTAAAGACCCAAAAGGCCTAGAGCTTAGACATTTTGCATAAGGCATTGTCTGGTAGACCTCTACCAAGATTGTTCAAATTAAAGCACTGGGGTCAAAATCAGCCCCGCCCCGAGTGTCATTGATTTTCACTATAGGTACATATTGTAAAAACTTAAAATACCTTCTTGTAAAGACCCAAAAGGCCTAGGGCTTAGATATTTTGCATAAGGCATTGTCTGGTAGACCCTTACCAGGATTGTTCAAATTATAGCCCTGGGGTCAAAATCGGCCCCGCCCCGGGGGTCATTGATTTTCTCTATATGTACATATATTCAAAACTTAAAATACCTTCTTGTAAAGACCCAAAAGGCCTAGAGCTGAGATATTTTGCATAAGGCATTGTCTGGTAGACCTCTACCCAGATTGTTCAAATTATAGCCCTGGGGTCAAAATCGGCCCCGCCCGGTGGGGGGTCATTGGTTTTCCTTATATGTATATAGTAAAAACTTATAGTAAAACTTTAAAAAAATTTCTTCTAGCAATTGACAAATGATAGAGGTTAGATATTTTGCATGAAACATTGTGAAGTGAACTTCTAGCAAGATTGTTCAAATTATAGCCCTGGGGTCAAAATTGCCCCCGCCCCAGGGGTCATTGATTTTCAATATATATATATAGTAAAAAATCTTATTGTCTGAAGGTACAAGGCTTAGAGCTTTAATATTTGTTAAATGACATCATCAATAGGAACTCTACCAAAGTTGTTCAAATTTTGCCTCTAGTGTCAAAATTAGCCCCGCCCCGGGGGCCATAGGTTTTCCTTAAATGTATATAGTAATAACTTAAAAAATCATCTTCTTTAAATTTAGAAAGACTAGAGTTAAGATATTTGCATGAAACATTATGTAGTGAACCTCTAGCAAGATTGTACAAATTATAGCCCTGGGGTCAAAATTGGCCCCACCCCCAGGGGTCATTGATTTTCACTATGTACATATAGTAAAAAATTAAAAAGTCCTCTTGTCTGACGGTACAAGGCTTAAAGCTTTGATATTTGGTATATACTATCATCTATGGGTCCTCTACTAAAGTTGTTTTAATTATGCCCCTAGTATTAAAATTGCCTTGCCCCAGAGGCGATATTTTCCCTTATATGTATAAAGTAAAAAAATTGAAAAATCTTCTTCTCTGAATTGACAAAGGCTAGAGGTTAAATATATGGCATGAGACTTTGCGAAGTGAACCTTTACCAAGATTGTTCAAATTATAGCCCTGGGGTCAAAATTGGTTCCGCCCAGGGGGTCATTGATTTTCATTATGTACATATAGTAAAAAAATAAAAAATATTTTTGTCTGAAGGTACAAGGCATAGAGCTTTGATGTTTGCTATATAAAATCATTTATAGGTCCTCTACTAAAGTTGTTCAAATTTTTCCCCTGGTGTCAAAATTGGCCCTGCCCGGGGGCAGTGATTCTCATTATGTACACATAGTAAAAACAGAAAATAAAACAAAATAATGTTTTCTGAATGGGAGAAAGCTACAGCTTAGATATTTGACTTGAAATGATGTTTGGTGGACCTGTATCAAGATTGTTTTGAATTAAACCCTTGGTCCAAAATTTTGCCTTGCCCAAGGGGACAGTGACCTACTTTCTTGTCCTTTGATGTACAGCAATGAAATTTTGACCATGTGCACAGTTTTAGTTGTAAAATTGAACTTTGATATCAGGTGACCTAGATTTCGTTGATGTGACCTTCTTTCTTGTCCTTTGATGTACAGCTATGAAATTTGAACCATGTGCACAGATTAAGATGTAAAGTGAACTTTTTTATTCAGCTGACCTAGATTTTGACAAAGTGTCTTACTGTGTTGTCCTTTTGATGTAGTCATGAAATTTAGGCTGTGTGAAATATGACCTTCACCACCAAATTCACTAGACTCAAGTGCATTGATATATTCCTACTTTGATCTTTTTTTGAGTTAACAACAGATTTAACCACAAATCTGTTAATAAGAATAAGATAGGTCATGGATCTATGCTTTATGACAATCTTCAAAATTGTATAGAAACAAAAAAAATCTGTTCCTACACTACTATTTGGTGTTGTATTAATGTGGTGGCATAGCATTTTTCTCAAATGCAATCTTGTTCTTGATTAATTTTGAATTTATATCATGTTTGCAAGATTTCAATGTGGACTTCATCATTTTTGAACAAACTATATGTACTTGTATCAAGCTATAGGCAGTTGTGTTATTAAAATATAGTATTGATTTATGTACTGCAATGTAGTTAAATGTGTGATCAATAGAACAATGTAACTTTTGACAAATTGCTCATTTTTGTAAGTGTTTTTTTTTTTTTCATATCAGAGAATGGTAATTAACTGGTCTTTTTATTGAGGCCACCTTGGCATGTGTCCAGTATACAGAGGAAAAAAAAAAGATTTTTATAATTTCTAATCAGTTTTCAGAAAATTTTGTTAAATGTGATATTATATGGAATTTCAAAGAATAATTGAAGCTATTGACATTACCTGCTTGACAGAAGCAACTTCAGCAGCTTAGGTAAACCTTTTGGTTAAATTTTTTATTTAATGGCCAATAACTTGAAAGCTATTGCATTGTGTGGCTGCACCTTGATTTATTCTACCTGTCACACCGATTCAAAAAGTCAAAGGTCAAGGACACTGGGAACCATGAAAACAGAACATAAAAATGAACATTTAATCATAGTGCATTGAATTAGGAACTTCAAACTTGGTATATGGTTGCATCTTGATGAGTTATATCTGCTATGCCCATTTCAGGTCAAAGGTCAAGGTCACTAAGACAAAATAAGACATAAAACTTGCCATTTAATCAATGCATATCAATAACCGTCATTGGCCAAAAACACTGGTACTTGTAAAATTAATCAAGAAAAAATATGACCATACCAATTTGTGGGCAAAATGTCAAAGGTCAAGGTCAATGACATCTGAATCAAATTGTCAAAAATGTGCAGTTTACTATTATCCAGCACTGAGAAAAGTGGAGCGAGCTGCTCCTTAGATAGCTCTTGTTTTTGTTATATCATATTTAGAATGTGTTACATTCTTTCTCATTTATTGATTACAACTGGGGATTTTAAGTTGTGTGATATAAATGCATACATTTTCTGCATTTATCTGTGTGGGAAATTACACTTATTCTCCATGAAAGAGATGCTATTTACATTCAACCCTTTACCTGCAGGGTCTGGTAGTAAATAACCTTGCCACACGTATAGAGCCTGACTTTTCTGCACATCTGTGCAGTCTGTCATTGCTCTATACTGTAGGTAGCTCAATTTTTATATGATTTATTTAATTTTTAATATAACTCTGATATTTGAAATCCTTGAATTTTCTAATGGACTATTTAAAATTCAAATGCAGGACAGATCTGGACTGTATTTCATAGAAAATCCGAAGTGTATCCTAAGTCCTAGAAGTTATGACAAACTTAAGACTAACTTAAAGACCATTTCAATTAATACATTTATCTTCAGTTAAAGTTTTAGACTTTTATTTAATTCATTCTCCTGAGGAAAGTTACAAAATACAATGGCATGCTCTTCACTTTGCAATATGTAAATGTTTATTTGCATTGCTATTCAAAAATCGAAGACTCTTAACATAAGAGTCATAAGAAATAACAATTTTTTTAAAACGAAAATTGTCTTAGTTTGGTCCTAAGACATATTTTAGACTCGGGACTTTCCATGAAATGCAACTCTGTTATTCATAGGGGGCAGGTTAAGGGTTAATTCAGCTCATCTGACATGCACTTTTTTGTTGTTTTTTTACCTGATTAAACCATTGTGCTATTTTCTGTATATTTTACTTGTATGTTTCAATAGAGAATTATTGATAGAGATTTTATTATTTACTTGTATTTTTTTTGTGCATGTTGAAAAAATAAAATATAAAAAATGAAATGTGTTTTGTGTGATTTTTTTGAATGGAATGTACTTGTATCATTTTTACAAGTCGGCTTAATTAAATAGAAATGTCTGCTCAATAATGTTTATTGATTGACACCGTCACATGTAGCACATGCATAATTTGTGATGCAAAAAATATTGAACACTTGAATGGTTCTTCTTTGATACTGAAGCAGAACTATATTTACACAAATGTTTATCATAATTAAATATTTTCATAGTGTTTTCTTCCTTTACTTTGTCCAGTATTTAGTGGAGCGTCGCTGTCTCCTCTGACAGCTCTTGTTAAAAATCAATTAAATAAATCAATTTGATTAAAACAATGAACAATTAGTACAAAATATTACATAGATATTTGTTAAAAATCAATTTAATAAATCAATTTAATTAAAACAATGAACAATTAGTACAAAATATTACATAGATATTTGTTAAAAAGGTGTTCCGGATCACCAGTAAGTTTAATACATATAGTAGTGTAACAAAATGATTAAGTGCAGGAAATTAAACAGCCACAATACATGTACGTTGTATATGCAAATGGCTGTCGATAAGAACAAGCTGTGACCAAAGTACAAAAAATGATGGTAGTGCCTGTGACTTAAACAATAAAATATTCTATGAATAATAATGAACAAGTTCATAATCAGTTAAGAATAAGAAGTAATAGTGGCTGTTGGTTAAGAATGAGAAGTAATAGTGGCTGTTGGTTAAGAATGAGAAGTAATAGTGGCTGTTGGTTGAGAATAAGAAGTAATAGTGGCTGTTGGTTAAGAATAAGAAGTTTTAATGGTAGTCACTTAAAAATAAAATTAATAATGGCTGTCAGTTGAGAACAAGAAGATACAATGACTGTCAATAAAGCAGCAGAAATAAGAGTGTAAGGTAAACAAGGACAGCCAAGTTAGTGGGCTGTAGAAAGTCAATGGTTTTCAGTTTTATATAGAAGATGGTAAGGGCTGTCAGCTTGGATTTAGAAATGATATGATAAAAGTTCAAGTCATTCAAATCCTCAATTACTAAAATTTAATAATGACTGTCATAAGTGGAGAAAAGAGATACTTTGTATCAAGGGGAGTAACTATGTCCTTAGCCGTATAAACGTGTTTATTGGGTTACCTCCCTTACAGTTCCAGACACCGCAACAAATTAACAACATTATCTAAGATACAATATTTGTATTAAATTGTTAGAATATACTAATTTTATCCTTTAATTTTTGGTTAGACACTTACAAGCGTTGTACTGAAGAAAAATATTTATTTTTTTGCATCAATTAGGTTTTAAAATAACTTGTTTCTTTTGACCGTATTAACGAATTCTGGACTTTTTAAAGGGACGTGTAAGAATATTTTCCCTATAGTTATGGGAAATGGTCGATGATAACAATGAATGGAAAAGATTCTTAAAAAAAAAACATTATTCTAAATTGAAAAAAAAAAACGACAACAAAAAACAATCGTTTTCGATAAAAATGGAATTGAAAATAAACAGGTCAGCACACAAAACATAAAATTTCTCCCAAACAAAATGTTAATTGACAACTTGTACTGCTTCAGGAAAAATGTTAACTTTTAAGAGTGAGTGGACATGATCAAAGTTCACGTATTTAATTCACAAACACGCCCCACTACTCCACGAACGCTGCGTAAAATCTTCATTAACAGGCGAGGCTAATTGGTGAAATTTGATAGTTGCTCTGATAATAGAGGCCCAGAGTATGAACTTTGACATAGGCTATGAATATCATTCTCAATTTTGGGCAGAAAGTCCAAACTTGTGCACTTGGTACTCCGAAATTTCAATTCTTCATATTTTGCTCTGACGTATCGTTTTTGAGCTGGATGTATTTCTTAGTGCTACCGTATTTATAAGTACTTATTTCAGCGGGCTTAATAATCAGTTACCTGCGATTTTTGTTAAAATAAAATGTTTTAAATTTCCCATACAAATATGGATGTCCGGGAAGAAATTTTGCAGATTTATATATCAATGCATGCTTAGTGTTATATGTTTTGAATACGATTTGATAGAGAAAATACATATAAAAAGATGCATAAATTGATGGAAACGTAAAATGTAAAATGTATTTGTCTGTATCTAAGGATCGTAGATTTACAGTATGTCATAGTATGGATCGTAGATTGAAGTCACCCTATTTCCTTATTCTACTTTTCTGCTTTGTTACAGTAAAACTGTTGTAATTTGTCCAGACTTAAAAATGTCTTCACGGGTGAGTTTAGATAAATAATGTTTAAACTCAATATAGAAAAAGAAAATGTATAAATTCCCAAAATAAACATCCCCAGTTGAATAAAGCTACTATATACAGCTAACTATAAAAGCTTGCTTTCGGCCGTTTTGTCGAAGTTCTTACCCGTTAAAAGTCTCTTTCGCCGCTAATAGGAGTCCAGACAGAACACCCTATTAATTGATGTGTGATGGAAAATGTTTCATGTTTTGAATGATTCAATTCAATCGTCCAAAATGACTCGTTTCCCCTTTTTAGTAAGTGCAAAAATGTTGCGAAAAAATATAATAAAAGAAACAACAACAAAACAATTTCAGGCAAAATTCACAAATGAATGAATGAACGAACGAATGAACATATAAAGAAATACATTTTATGATTAAACACATACCAATTTATTTAAGGACGGGCCTCGGCTTCTGGTGAAATATCACACACGTAGTTGCAATGTCAAAACAATCGTAGGGCTATCCCATTTACTGTGTGAAATATTTGGAATGGAATAAAATAATAATAATAATAAAAAAGAACGCTGACAAGTATGGCTGACTTATACTCTGGCACAAAACGTGAAATTTCGTATTTTGGACCCATCTACATTAACAGTAAGCGAGTAGTCTTATCTGGAGATGACACTGAAAGAATAAAAGGTAGGAATTCTAGTTATTAGTGAATAAACAACGCATGCTTATATTCTTAAATTGAATGTTTTGTTGATAGAGATCGTGTAGAGTAAATTTATAGATGGAGGATTTGTTTTGTTGGTTTTCCGGCGTACCAACACGATTTAGGTAATATGGCGCCGAAACAGGAAAGATGATTTTGGCTAACTTCGGGTGTTACAAACTTAAAGCAACACTAGGGGTCAAAACCACCTAACTTGCTGGAGCTAAGAGGTGCATAGACTCCAGTAATTCGAACCCATTGGTCACGCAGGGTTTAAACAGTGGCTGCAATTCTGATGCATCAACCGATAAAGGTTTACGGCTTTGTTCTTTTAAAGGCATATATAAAAATAAAATGTATTGTTAATTGAATAAATGTAGCATAAAACGATTCTTAATAAAATGTTGCAATTCTATTTTAGCGGGTTAAAGCAAGGAGTCACACGTGTAATAAACACAAAAACATGTAACATACACATATATAAAACAAACAAGTAAACAAAAATGTAACAAACACAAATTTAATGTAACATACAAAGATATGTAACAAATAAATGCTTATAACAACACATCTATTACATTGTATTGTTTTTATTTTATTATTTTGTTGTTCAGACGTCGTTAGTTAATTTCAGTTAATAAAGTATCAAACAGTTACTTTGGATATAAGTAAAGAATATTTGATCAAAATTCAAACTTTTTTGTTGTTGCAAAAAGCATTTAATATAGCGGTAATAACAAAACCACATGGGGAATTGTTCAGATAAACACGTTTGTAGTTATTATGTTAGTGAAAGACCTTGAACAAATGCTGGAAAGGTTAAAATAGATGTAAAGATGTAAATTAACTTAAAACAATGTTTTCCAATGGGTTATGATCCATTCCAACACTTTTTCAAATATTAATACATGAAGTACCTAATAGTTTATGAATTAAGTGAAATCTCCCATAGTTTTTCCATTATCTAATCAACAATTATAGTAATGTATTGCCTGGACTAATTTATAATGTCACTTTTACCGGGGCGTGATAAGAACATATCTCGGTGTGCTCGGGAAAAAACGGATGGTTATTGTCCATCCTGGTGATAACGAATATTGTTATCAGGTTTCTTGTTTCAAGACTGTCTCTGTTTATCTAAATGCTTATGTGTGTTTAGATATTGTATCAAAATAGACAGTGATTTTCACCGATTGTATTTCATCAATTCCCAATTGTTTCAAAGTACACACGTGTATTACGTGAATATTTTTTATGTACGGAATCCGGTTTGGGCTAACGTCTACAAATAAAATTATCTGAAATGTACGACCAACATGAAATCGCTTGCATACGAATTCCCACAAATTGCAAATTTAGTCTAAATCAAAACATGTTTAAGAGTAATATATTTATATCAATCACGTGACAAAATAATTTACTTTTACGTTCGTTGACATGTTAAGTCATCTCACTGCATTTTCAGCTTATGCTAGCATCAACCCAGAAGCTACATGCCTCCAGATGAGCCAAAATATGTACTAAGGTTTTGGGGAAATAACAAATAAAGATTAAAAATTCTAGTAATACATTGTAATATACATATTTTGGCAATTAATCACTGATTTTGCAGTATTTATGACTGTATTTCTATTGTGTGACTAATTAACACAGTTGCGTTACTAACGCAATATGGGCTGAATAAATACTAGTAATGGGAAACAACTCGTACTAACGTTTTTCCTATACAACTACAAGAGTTACTTTTCCTTAGATAAAATGGAAACAAATACACGTGAAAAATTGATGGGAGTATAGTAGATATAATTGACATATGATATAGTTTCATTTCTAATACATGTGTATAAACATATTTTATTAAGTATTGTACACTTTGTATCAATGCATAAAATATGTACGGTGTTTTCATTTATTCCAGAAACAAAGGATAAGTCTTTAGATATCAACAAATATAAAATCAGATCAGTAGATGCAATTGAAAAAGAAAATGTTGAGCAAAACAATGCACAAAGCCGTATCGATACATCACCGATGGACAAATATAACAAAGAATTACAACACGAAATAGAAAGCAGACGACACCTTGCACCATACGATAAAACGCTACCTCGCCAACAAACCGATTTCAATCACACGCGCTCTAAAAGCGAAGATAGGACAACTGGTCATGCGCTGAAGAGTTTCAGACCACTACAAGGCAATGGTGGCCACTTTATTGGGCAATACGATTACAGATTCAAAATAAGCTCCACCGAAGATAACTATATGTACGATAAATTCAAAGCGAAATCAAAATTGATTCACATTAAAAACGAAAATCTCGAATCCGAGCAAACTACATCCAATGAGCCTCCAATGCATGCCGGGAAAGAAAACATATCACGTGACGACGACAGTAAGATACTAACAGACTTGAGCGTAGTGTCTGCTGACAAAACTAATATCAGTAATGAAACAAAAGAGGCCATAGTTCAGACAAATGGTAAAGACTTCCTAACTAAACACAGGAATAGAATAAATAAACTGAAAAGGCGATTTTTCGAGTCACAAACAACACCGAAGCCGATACCTGTACCAAACAGCTCTAATGCGTCTGAAAAATCTAAGGATGAACATACGTCATCTGAACATGAACCGACGTCATGCGGTCATACTAAGGATATTGTTCCAGCAAAGCCACCTAGGAATTATTCAAACAGCGAACGCACTGTTTCAAAATCCAGACTATCATTGTTGGACAACTACGATGACATCTTCAGCGGCGATCGGCGCAGACGACATTCTACAGACGGTGCCTTAGGTATCAATAATTTAGAAGAAATGCGCGTCCGTTGGTCGACAAATTTTGGACAGTATGCAGTAGTGGTCGCAATAGATTTTGGTACTACATACAGTGGCTATGCCTATAGTTTTATGGAAGACCCAGGTACATTTCTTAATATTAAAATGTGTGGATTTGTTTACAGGCTCTCAACCGTTAAGATTTTTAATATAAATCACATCTCATGATTTAAATTTTGTATGCATAAATGTAGATATTCAGTGTACTTGTTTTTATACTGTGACAGGACGTGTCATGCGCAAGAATTAATTAGGAAAAGGATATTTGCAAATTTAAACTAGGTCTTATTCTGGTTAGGTTCCAAAGCCTTAACGCCGCATCAGACGAAAGAATAAAATGTTTAAAAAGTGGTTTATAAAGTTTTGGTAGCCAGAACTAGCAAAATTGTATTTCTTATTTTTTCCTCTCATTGCTGTCTAGCAGCAGAGATTTTTATGTAAAAAATTCCTCCATTTCGTATCATTAATGAAACATATCCAACTTCATGGCAAATGAATGCTGCTGTTTCGATTTCTGTAAATCATCGAGCCATTTTTACCTTGTGGCAAATTCAGAAAGTTATGATATTTTTCGTTATTTTGATTTTCTTTACGAAACAAGTCCGTTCCAGTTAAAATGTTTTCAAATAATAATAATAAAAAAAGTCCTTTAACAGTAACTTAATTCTTTCATTTTATGACATTCCTATTTATTTTTTTGAATCAACAGAAACAGTTCACATGATGCGGCGACACGAGAGCGGTGACCCCGGCGTTTACGATCAGAAAATCCCTACCGCTATATTACTATCACCGGAGGGGGATTTCCATTCATTCGGGTACGCTGCGCGTGATTTCTATCACGATTTGGACCAGAAAGAGTCTGTAAAATGGATGTACTTTGAGAAATTTAAAATGATGCTACACACTGAAGGGGTAAGTGCTCTTACCTAACATAACCCTTAGCTTGCTGGAACTGAAAGTTAATCAAAGCACAGAAGGCGCTGAATTTGTTTGGGCCTCAGAATGTCAGAAAGGTGAAGATTGTGAGTTTATAAACCAATTTGTGTGTATAGTGTCACCAATGCTGTTTTATTACTACAGTAAATTGGCTATAAGACTAATTGCAACACTGATATTCAATTCAATGTTTATTTGGCTTAAACAATTAAAAACAAAAACAAAAAAACCCATGCTTCTGAAGCGAGCGTCCACGGGGAGTTATAAGATAGCAGCCTGAAGAATACCAAACTAGAGTTTGTAACCCTTATCAATTTCGATATATTTTGTTCACAGTAAACCTGTTGTTTGACACTGAATTAAATAATCATGGGGCTGAATATTAGCACGTATATCTAAAAAAATAACACAATATTAGAAATCTTCGACCAATAGGGAACTATTTTTTCGTTACGAAAATTAATGCGCCTGTCATTTGACAATCTTTACGCAGTGATCTTCCCTTAATTTTTCGGCGTTGATGTTCATTTGAAGGGAAGTAACCGCTTCGAGGAGTTTGGACTACTTTCGGCATTTGCAAATAAGAACATCAGGGTCTGAAATTTCGCTACCATTATTTGTTTGGTCTGACGACCCAAACAAATAAAAAGCATTTGCCGCCTGTTTAGAGCCAGGCCAGCCAGCACATCCGTCTGACCAGGCTCTATACTGTTGGTAGCTGTATATATGTATTATGATGCTGAAATACCCTAAACTTTTAATGTACTGTTCCAAAGTGAAAAAAGACACACCTAGGCTAAGCACTATACACATGTAATCGTTTTTGGTGGCTACACGTTAAAGTATTAATTATTATTAATTGTTATTAATTGAAATGATGCGCCTAAATCAAAGTGCAATTTGCTTTACAATAGTGTTATTTTAATACATTAAAATATGTGAAATGAAAGGGAAAAATAACATCAATTCTTTTATTTTTAGCAGCTGCACGAAGATTCCATGTTAAAATCAATATCAGGAAAGGAATCACGTGCAATGAAAGTGTTCTCGCTGAGCTTGGCACATTTTAAGGAGCTTGCCCTCCAGGAGATATGTGACCAATCAGGTGAAAAGATATCCTGTGACGTCATCAGATGGGTCATCACTGTGCCGGCGATCTGGAAAGCTTCCGCCAAGCAATTCATGCGCAAAGCTGCTTATCAGGTTGGTATATGTGTAATGATTTAACAATATGTTGTGTTTTTTTTAACTTTTAATGCTTTATTTAACGTCTTAAACTAATTTTGTCATTCTTTCAAAAAAGCATGACATTGATCAAGTCATTTTGATTTGAGCTAATAATGACAGTGACGTGAAATGACGACGTCAGCTTCATTCATTAGGTCAACTAATAATTTCATTGTTCACTCATTTTCAGCAACAGCGAATGAAATAATTTTTTTTTCAAACCGAGTTAAATAATAACTTTGTTATCGTCCTTTATTATAGCTATTAACGGCACAACTACACATGTGATAACTTTGAGGATTTGCATAATCTGAAATTTTTACTATGATCAATGTCATGACTGTAGCAACGCTATATGTCGCAACGCCGCTATATGTCGCAACTAACGCTAAATGTCGCAACGCTGACGCTATATGTCGCAATCAACGCTATATGTCGCAATCGCCTACCGCTAAATGTCGCAACGTTGCCGCTTTATGTCGCACAAAAATCGATTGCCGCTAAATGTCGCAACCCCTTGACGCTAAATGTCGCACTTGGTAGGAAAATAACAGATGGAACTTAAACAAAAAGTAAGTGTTAAAACATTTAAAATTTATACCATTTACACATGAAAACATATCCTAGTAAGCAAACAAAAGTTGTATTTCGCGGTCTATGGAAATCTTGTATGGCCATAGAAACGGTTTTTGATAAAAAGGGATGGATTTGGTTCTCAACCACGGACCAGGTGTGAAGTCAAACTTTCTCTTTGAGGATGTCTTTCTCACAAAATGCATCAACAAAAACATTTGGATATACATGTATATTTGTTATATTATTTGACATAACTGAGCAAACCGCTTGTTAATGCTAAGGGTGAACTATATCTTAAAATATATTTTTTATTATGCCTGTTCATAATCTGACTAGATAGGCTTTACTACATGTAAGTATTAAATAATACCCAATTGATCTGTTGATCGATATTCGTAACTATGCGGTGTATTGATTAAGGTTATGACAGAATTGTTATACTTTCATAACTTTTTATATTTATCTCAATATTTCTTTGGGAACATTAATGAATCAATATACTATGGAATTGCCAAATGTTGACTGCCTACTGCTTACTGTCAACTGCTTACTGTCAACTGCTTACGGCTTACTACTTATTATTCACTGCTTATGGCATTAAAATAAAAATGGACGACCTATTACAACTTTATTGGTCAAAAATTATTCAGTTGCCGAAATAGTTGCCGTTGTCAAACACAATATAGTGCAGTGGTATATAGGCCACTTCCAACAGCCTTGCTGTTGGGTAAACCCTTTAGCGATGTGGTTGAGGTGTCCGCCTATGAATCAAGAGGTCTGAACCCTTGGAATTTGTCTGCCTCCTAATTTACTTTAATGGTGTCAGAAGTGTTTGACGGACTCATGCGGTAAGCAGGGAGTGTCATTCAGGAGAGCTGGCTAGCTCTGAAAAGTAAAGAGGGAAGGAGTGTAGTGGTTGTAGGTATATAGGCCACTTCCATCAGCCTTGCTGTTTGATTAATCCTTTAACGACATGGTTGTGGTGTCCGTCTACGGACCAAGAGGTCTGTGGTTCAAAACCCGGCTGGACCCTTGGTATTTTTCTGCCTCCTAATTTACTTTAATAGTTTACAGTTACATATATATTCTTAGAACAACATTTAAAGGAATTCACTGATAAATTAATAAATGCATGGACTATAACATGAAATTCCATAAACGACAGCCAACTGTTGACTGCTTACTGTCTACTTCTGACTAACTACTGCCTACTGTTAACTGCCTACTGCTTACTGTCAACTGCTTACTGTCAATTGCCTACTGTCAACTGCTTACGGCTTACTGCTTATTGTTCACTGCTTATAACATTAAATGTACCAAAACCTAAATAATTATGCGTGTCTGTGCAATAAATCGTTGATAACTCGGAATCCTTTGGCTGATACATTGCAAATAAATACGCGCAACGCAAGGTAGGCAGTAAGCAATAGTGTAAGCAGCGCGCAGTAAGCAGTCAACATTTGGCTGTCGTTTATGGAATTCCATAATATACTGTATTATAATCAGGAGACTGCTTATGAATTTTGGACGATTTAGTTGCCTAATTCTCGAAATAAGACGTATAATTAGAGAATCTCGTTGGGAAAATGCCTGTTAACACCTTCGCCTTTGCGTTGATGCCATATGTTGGTACATGTATATGGTATAGAAGGCCATGAACGTTTGTAGGTCATATAATAATTTTTTAAAATGTATGAGATAGGTGAAAGCTGAAAATGATATAACATTGGATTTTATTTTGTTTTTTTAAAATATCACAATTAGTACTAAGAATTTGTTTTCGTCATTGTACTTCGTTTATATTTGAAAGTTTGCATTCCAAAAGTTTTGTTTTATTTCTTTGATTAAAAATGGGAGATTTGTACATAACTTTTATCATAACATTTACATTAAGTTTATAATTTACTACTCTTAAAATGATAACACACAAACTGCACTAAAACTCTAGTGCCATATCATGTTTTATGTAGTTTTATGGTTACACTAGTCGTTTATGAATATTATTGTTCACTTAATCATTACAGTATCAATAGCATTATTTGATTTTAATATACTTGTTCTTGTTGGAAAATATGGATTAAAATGATTTGCACAAACTTGAGTTTATTTTCTTTTATTTGACTTTGTAATCATGGTACCTTACCAAATTATTAACTGTATAACAATAACGTGTATTTTATTTTTGCGGTGCCTTGTGCCGCCGCATTGCGGTCTTGCCGCATAAACTGGTTCAAAGTCGTTTATGCGGTGATTTTCTCCGCATTAAAGAAATACTTTTTATGCAAAAAGGTACCCTGTCACCGCATTAAACAATTTAAACGTTTAAGACTTTTTTGTATTAGTGACGGGGTGTTTTTTGACTTTAAAAAATGAAATAAATATATAAAAAAAAACATTTATCTCCTGCTAAGGTTATGTTAATGTGCAACGTGTTTATGTGTGAATCAAAATTGAATCGGCGTATGACATATTTTTTAACCATTTATTGGACTGACGGATATTAATGATCATTCGTAACGTCATTTTAAACATTTTTAAGAGATAATTGTTAATGACAGGCCAAGCAAGTTTGCTCGGTTGTGTACTAAATTTTTATTATGTCGTGAAATTGATTTCGCTAAATCGTGAAAATTTGCCGCCGCATTTGTCGGAACAGGCGCGCAGGTTTTAGAGGCATATCTAGGCATACTAGTAACTCGATTTTGTAAATGAAAGAAAATTATAAAACAAGATTCTTTTACTTTAATGTGTTAGAACCGTTCTACGGTAGTCTACAATGGAATCCCTGTTTAAGGGATAAATTATTATCGAAAGTTGTTGAAATAAGAACACTTTACTTTGTTTGGCTTGAAAATAAATAAACTCAGGTTCAACTTCTTTATGATGCAAAAAGGCACTGTTGCGCCGCATAAAAGCAATTTTCGCTTTATGCCTTGCGCCTAGCCGCATAAACGTGTTCACCACTATTATGCGAGGAAAATCATCGCATCAATGACTTTGAACCCTTTTATGCGGCAGGGCTTCTATGCGGCGTCACAGTGCCTTTATTCGGCTGCGAAGCATCCAAGTCTTATTTGATTTTATATAACACACATGATTTACTGCGGCACTACATGATTTATTTTGCGAGTTCCCAATAAAAACACATGTAAATAAAAAAATGTCTCGTACATAATTTTAGCACTTTGGGGCACATTTTAAATTTTTCGCATTGCTCAAAACGTTTTTATTTTTCATTTTTGTCAAATGAAAAGAAAGTATTTTTTCATGTCCGTAAACATCCAATGGACTGGACGATTTCAGATTTTCATGTATAGGGGGGTAGGTAATTGAGACTAAATATCATTGAACAAGACAATAAAGCTCAGGAAATGATGACGCATAGAATCTTGTTACCTGACCTGTCTGGATCTAAAGGGGCACTGTCTTGTATTGGACAAACACGCAAAATGTGTTACATTCTCATAATACAAAATGTATATCTGAAACTATCCATCTAATTTTTTTGCCTTAAACTAGAAAACAAGTTCGGGATGAAGAAATGTATATTTTTTATATTTAACGCATTATTTAAAGTTTTTGATCAGACCAGTTACAATCAAATATACCGTGTGATAAGGAAATATTTTACTATTATAATTATACTAAAGTAACGATTCCCCTTTAACCCAGTAAATTGTTAAGATCAGATTGTAATTTATAACTTCGTGGTGTAACATAGTAATACATTTTTTTTTTACATGCTGTTAAGCAATTTGGTAAAACTCAACAGCTGCCTTTTAAATAACAGTTTTTCATACCTTTCCATCAAACAATTGTTTCGCAGCCATTTTACGCTTGTATAATTATATATATTATATTAAAGTATCACGTTTCTGTTATACCTAGTTGATGTTATTGTGACGTGTGTTTGAAGTTGTTTGAAATTTGTTCAAATTCGCATAATAAATGATAAAGTTATGGAGCGGACAAGAATTTGACCTTCAAGTGTGACCTTGACCTTGACGCGGTAGGGACCTTGATGCTGCATGGGACACAATATCTAATGCCGGTGAACATTTCTGTGAAGTTTGATCAAATTAGCATAATAAATGAAAAAGTTATGGAGCCGACACGAATTTAACCTTTGACCTTCAAGTGTCCCGCTACTTACTATTTTGATGTTTGTTGTCCGTTCCACTGTATTAAATAATAATAAGACATTTCACGCAGTAACGATATGAATTCACGCGGCTTATATTTAATTTCATTTTGTTACCGATATAACCTCTGTTAATGCGATATATGTATTTGTGAAAGGTAGGTTTGTTACAAATATAAATGGAAACCAATCAGTCAATGTGCCTGATCTGATTTGACTTTTCCACCCAGTGCGACATTTAGCGTCAAGGGGTTGCGACATTTAGCGGCAATCGATTTTTGTGCGACATATAGCGGCAACGTTGCGACATTTAGCGGTAGGCGATTGCGACATATAGCGTTGATTGCGACATATAGCGTCAGCGTTGCGACATTTAGCGTTAGTTGCGACATATAGCGGCGTTGCGACATATAGCGTTGCTACAATGACAAAACTTGACTTTGCTTTGTTGCCGTTTCAATTAAATAAGTGACACAATTTTATAGCAGATAAAGCGCAGCAGTTTGTTATCATTTATTTACTTTAGGCGGGAATCGTGTCAGAAAACCGACCGGACCAGCTTCTGATAGCTCTGGAACCGGAAGCGGCGTCAATCTATTGCAGGCGTTTAAGAATGTTTCATATTTTATCTGAGGGCCGTAGAAGTGCGAGTGTTAGTATGTCAGACGTGTCAATTAACACCTCGCTCAGTATGCCAGAACTACCGTGCCACGATGTCAGCCTAGTGTCCAACGACCTTGACATTGGTATGTTCAAACCCTAGTCATTCTCTTACAGTGTCATTTAACACTGTCATTTACTAGTATACACTATCGTTTATAATTGCGTTGTCTTGTTGGATGTTGGAGTTTCCTCTCTCATCTCTATTATTTGTTTGTTTGTTTGTTTGTTTTTGGGTTTTACGTCACATCGACACAGTATAGGTCATATCGCGACGTTCCAGCTTTACTGGTGGAGGAAGACCTCAAGTACCCTTCCGTGCATTATTTCAGGCACGAACGGGCACCTGAGTAGAACCACCGACGTTCCGTAAGCTAGCTTGATAGCTACCTTACATGAAGGAATCCGAAGTCCCTGTCGGGATTCGAACCCACAGTGGTGAGGGGCAGGTGGTTTGAAGTCAACGACCTTAACCACTCGCCCACGGACGCCCCTCATCTCTATTTAGACATAATGTGTTCTCTCTTAGCTAGAGTTTTGTTGTTTTGCATAACGATCGTTCAGGTCAGGTGACCGCCGTAAAAAGAGGTGACTGTTACTGTATATCTAAAATATTAGATGATATGGTTACATAAATTTCAAAGCAGACCGGCTCAGAAACGAATGAATTTGTTGTTCTTTAGAAAGAGCAAACCTTAATATTTATTTTAATGAACGTATAAAATAACGGTTATATAGCGCATGTTAGATGCTTATTATCTGAACAAAATTGCACTTAATGTGAAATTAGACGTCATAATAGTAGCAAATTGTAAACAAAGTACTATTTTGACGTCCATACAAATTACTATATTTGTACTAGATGCAAAAGAAGGTTCAGGGAATTGGCCAATTAGTAACTTTTTGGAAACCATAACAGCAAAACAAAAATAAAAACTTTTCCTAAGAAATAAAAAAAAATATAATTACTGCGTCATATTGGGTTTTTAAAAGACATAAATTATCATTTCTATATTGGATCTTCCCCGACATATGTATTGGGTTAATTTTAGGGACTCGTTATATGGTAGTGGACTGTGGTGGGGGCACTGTCGACATCACTGTGCACGAGCTCCTCGAGTGCGGCAAATTAAAGGAACTACAAAGGGCCAGCGGTGGATCACACGGTTCAGTTGGTTTGTACAAGTTATATGAGCCGCGCCATGACAAAACCAATGCAATGCGTTTGAGACCAGCATGGATCCAGACCAGCCTGCGCATCCGCGCAGTCTGATCAGGATCCATGCTGTTCGCTTACAAACCCCATAACAAGTAGAGAAACTGATAGCGAACAGCATGGATCCTGATCAGACTGCGCGGATGCACAGGCTGGTCTGGATCCATGCTTGTCGCAAACGCTGGTTTTGTTGGTTTTGTCGTGACGCGGCTCATATGTGTTAAAACTTTCTCCAAAGAATATTCTACTAATTGTCTTGGAATGAGGAATTTATTTTATCAAAATGTCTCAAGATATTTTGAAAATACATGTAATATTCAACAGTTCATGACCTGTAGACATGAAGTTGTAGCTTTGTTACTTATATATGAATATATGCGTCGGCTTCATGGGCTGGTCATTCCTGGTGTCATGCTAGGAAACATGCTCGTGACTCGGGTAGGGCTCGAGTCCACACCACAGACAAATTATCATGTAGGTTACTTCTTCCTTTTATATTGTTAATATAAAGAAAGCAATGCCAGAAAACATTTATACCATTTAATTCATAAAATACTTATGTAAATAAATACTGTAAGCATTTTATATTGCGTTACTCATATGTTTTAAAAATTCTATCAGAAAGCGATATAATTTACATCACTTATTGTGATACTGCGCGACCGTAACTACAGTTTTAAATTGTGTGCTGCAGATTTACAGACATTTTTTATTTTGGTCAAAGAAAACTAATGTTAACAAGGGGCAGGACGTGAAGTGGTTGCACACTTGGTTCAAGCGAGCGAATTGGTTGCAAACTTGACAAAATGGCAAACACGGCGTGATTTTTTGAAACGGGTGAACGAATTTTTGCCAGGCAAGTGGGTTTCTTTGTTATTTTGAAGTTCATTAGTATGTCTATTCCATAATGCAATATATATGCCACACTCGGTTAAAGGTTTCAGCATCCTAGATTCTGTTTTGACGAAGTTATTGAAGATATAAACTGATAATGTAGATATTTTGAAATTTGACATGTGACTGTTCTGGTCGGTTTTTTCTCCTAATTTATTCGAATTTGTAAGTTTTGAACTGCATTGAACAATAACAAAATATGTTTCTGTCAATGCTGTACAAATGGTTTAGTTCGCAAGTCCGAAGATAACATTCAATACACAAAAATATCTTGTTCAAGCACATTTTGGTTGCAGACTTATACTTCAAGCATTTTTGGTTGCAAACTTTTGTGTCAATTATGTGGCATGCATATTTTAAGCGAGGAATAACTTATCATTTTTTTTTATAATTAGCGATATTAAGGCAATTATACCCGTTCATCTAATAAGAAATATATATGCAAATTGTGCATGCGTGCAGATATATCCTAACACAGGGTCTTTCAAATAGATATATAACACAATATGTTAAATTGAAGTTCAGTTGTGTTTATGTTCATCATTTTTTCTCCTCGATATACTGTTTTTTTACAAATCTTAGGACTTTTTTATATCTTGGCATGAGTAAAGGAAAAGAAGAAAAAATAGCAATAAACGACTTTCATTATTGTTCTTTTTTGAGATTTGAAATAAATTTGATTATATAGTAGATAAAAACTACATTAACATTGACACAAGGGCATTATTTACATGTTTCTTTAAATTGTTCCTTATTATTGACCAATCGAAACATCTTCCTCATTCCCTAACTCGAACAATGACTTTAAGTAGTTTTGTCACGTATCAGTCAATGTAAATAACCAATCGTATATCATTTATATTATGATCTAATAATCTAAATCATCTTTAGAATACCAATTGACATATGATGTACATCAATCCGAAGTATTGTAAACAAGCATATCATTTTAACTTTTGGTTTGTAAAAATATTCAAAGTACATTTACATAATTTATGTCTTAATTAAGGAACTGCTGATCTTCACATATGAAACAAACAAATTAACATTTCTTGTGGTTATGATAAACTTTGGAATTTTTGCCGAGTAACATCGTATGTGTGCACATGTCCTTATGTTTATGATGAAAATAATTCACTTACATACAACAGTACTCTCACATACGTTTGTTTTGTATGTAGTTTTCATTTGCATTTTACATATGATGACATTTATAAGAATTGAAGTATCAATAAATATTTTCTATATGCTATTATTTTGTTTGCAGGCTTTTACTGATGATTATAGTATTGAACTGAGAACCATGTAATTTGAAACATAAAGTGCATAATTGTTGTAAAAGAAGTTAGTATAAATAACATTTATAACAAAAACAAGTAACAGAACATAAATGTCAATAATTTCCATTGAAAATAGGTCTCTACACTCCTTTTGCAAAGTTTTACAACGGATTTCAATAGAATAAGAATAAGTTTGCAACCAAAAATGCTTGAAGTATAAGTCTGCAACCAAAATGTGCTTGAACAAGATATTTTTGTGTATTGAACGTTATCTTCGGACTTGCAAACTAAACCATTTGTACAGCATTGACAGAAACGTATTTTGTTATTGTTAAATGCAGTTCAAAACTTACAAATTCGAATAAATTAGGAGAAAAACCGACCAGAACAGTCACATGTCAAATTTCAAAATATCTACATTATCAGTTTCTATCTTCAATAACTTCGTCAAAACAGAATCTAGGATGCTGAAACCTTTAACCGAGTGTGGCATATATATTGCATTATGGAATAGACATACTAATGAACTTCAAAATAACAAAGAAACCCATTTGCCTGGCAAAAATTCGTTCACCCGTTTCAAAAAATCACGCCGTGTTCGCCATTTTGTCAAGTTTGCAACCAATTCGCTCGCTTGAACCAAGTGTGCAACCACTTCACGTCCTGCCCCTTGGTTAAGTATGAGAATTCGTTAAAAACACTTTTGACACAGGTGGCCTCGAGATCACGTGGGCAGCCCTTCATATTTTTTGTCTTAGCCCTATCTGATGGTATTTTTTTATACATTGGGTCATATAAGCTGGCAAATTGCTAAAATATATCATTTCACATACGTTCTAAATGGATATCGATTAAAATACTTAAATGTGATTTTTATATTTAACTTAATATGTTTAATATGATATTTTCATACGGCATGCCTTAAAGAAAAATAAATCCAACTGAGTTTTCTTCTATCCATAAGGCGTTGACGAGGAATTCGAAAAACTGCTCTACACAATATTTGGAGCTGATCTTATTAACCACTTCAAGAAAAAGCGACCTTCAGGCTGGGTGGACCTCATGGCCATGTTCGAATCTCGAAAGAGGACAGCAAGTCCATACCGGTCCTCGAACATCGCTATATCCATTCCATTCTCATTTATTGACTTCTATAAAAAGACAAGGGTACGTGTAAATTATTCTTTTTTTTTCTTTTTTTCTGACGAAGTATGTGTCAATATATTTTTTTCCTTGTGAATAACTAGATTCCATCTTTTCGTATATTTTATTTAGTTACTTTAAAGTGCACCACTGAATAATCACATAATCAGTACTTCAAAAGATAGAACTAATAAATATCTTTATTAGAAAAAAATACAAAAGGATATTTAGATAGTATTACTGAGTGCACATAACTCGTTTGTAATATTCTCCCATTTCTTTGTTTTGAAGTTATTTCCCTTTGATTGATTTTGATGAAAATAAGAAGTGCATTTATCTTTCATTGACATGTATACATATTGCGTTTCCTACAGGGCAGTTCGATTGCAAGCGCATTAAAACAATATGGCGACCCAGAGATCACGTGGACAGCAAACGGACTACTTAAATTATCGCCAGGCGTAATGAGAAGGTTGTTTTTGCCCACCGTAGATAGAATCAAGCAGTCCATTGGAAGTGTGCTGAACAATCCTGTAAACAAAGGTAAATTATACGGAATACCAGTTGACCATTTCTCTCAGACAGAATTATCAAAGTTCTTTGTGATAATAACATTTTCATCACATGAAATGACGTTAAATATGACGGAGTTTTATCAATATAAACGAGAATGTTTATAAATGCAACTCCAAATATTTTTTTTCATTATTCTATTGTGAACAATTCTCAACAAATTATTATAGATATTTAACGAATAAAAAAAACATAGTGGATTCTTGGCCAAGTGGTTAGGTACGGTAATTCACGCAAAGTGCATCGCACTACTGAGGATTCGAATCTTTCCATAAACATGCATTCTTTCATGGGTGGAAGCATTTCAGCCAACTCACCGGTTTGTGCCCTCTCTGACAGGGTAACATTTATTTTTTAAGTTTTTTTTTTCAGATTGAAATCTGATACGGTATAAAAAATATTTTATATGGCATAGTTTAATATCTGTATACTAGTATCTGGATGTGGTAGTAACCCTTCCTTTAGCAAACTGGGGTCAAACACTGTGCCTGCCTAAAATAGTTGACAAATCTTCATCAATTAAAAGTTTGCTTACTGCTCAACATAAAGCGTTTGTCAACCAAGATTTCTATGAACGGATTTATGCTGAAATATTCCCAATACCAATATTTAACATTCCAGATATAATGTACATGTTTCTCGTGGGAGGATTTGCCGAATCATCTATAGTACAGCACGAGATGAGGAAGGACTTCGGATCAATCCTAAAGATCATTATCCCCCCAGGGGTTGGGATGAGCATTCTAAGGGGTAAGGCATCAATTGACGAAAATGATATTTTATTGTTTTATTTAGTGTGGAGAAGCCATAGCGACACATCCTCTACAACACCCCGCGTAATTGTCGTCTGCTGCTAGTATTTGTATTAAATGGTCACGAAAAAAGAAAAAAAGAAAAGAAAAAAGACAAGATGAAACAAATTTGTGTGTATTTTTCTGGTAATTATTTCTATTTGTGGGTTTCTGAAGTTTTGTTTTTTGTTCAACAAGTCCTCTCATTTGAATACATGCATGTGTTGCTTTGACGGATTAACTGTCAAGTTCATGAAACAAAACCCACATGATCTCGTTAAGGAGTGTCGATATTCAAGACAGAATGGGTTTGTACTGATAAATAGAGACCGTACAGTAGTCATTATAATCATAAGCTGCCAAATATTTATTTACCTTAAGCGTGCTGTCCACAATTGAATATACACACGCGGCCAGTGCAGACCACGATAATCCTTTCTGATCATGGTCTGCACTTTTCGCTATTTAGTCAGTGCATATTTTGATTTTGTTTGCAAGGTTTCGTACAAATTGAAAGATGGACAAGACCTTTTAAGATATTTAGCATAGTAAGGGTAACCTTTGTTGAGTCAATTAATCTTGGGCTGACATTTCAATTACTGTGTGTTTCTGTTGATCTCGGTGTATCTTCATTTTTAGGTTGCTTTATAAACATTGCAAATGGTGCCATGTGCTGTACAGCAGCAGTTATAAGATGTCTCTTCTTCAAGTCCGTGTGTTTCTTGTTATGGTCTTATGTATTGAATTTTACTTAAACCGGTGCTAGGGGGGAACCTAATGACATTGTAAAAGCATATAGATGAAGTGACACTGTAACACTGATCCGTTGCAACAAACTGAGGTCCTTCCGTACATTTCGTATAATTTTAATAGCGTTTTCCTTCCATAATTATGAATCTTCAAAAACATTTTTGGATTTCGATGATATTTAATTAGTGTCAATTAATATAAAGTTTAACAATGCATGTTAAAATGCTCGAGTATTTTATCACTGCCTTGTAAATTTATTGTACTTTTATTATTGTTGAATCAACTCACCTTTTCAGTCAGGATAATTACTCATTTTTTGTGCCAAAAAGTTATTGCTATTACTGTCCGATATTATTTCATTACAATCGCATAAAGTTTAATTACTCCACATAAATTGCGGTTTTTAATTGCCTCATATAGGCAAGGTTACTTTTTAAAATATGTTATAAATATGTTATTCGATCGAGTTAACTATTATATTCAAGTATATTTATTTCAAGCAGCCGAACAGTAAACCTGTGATTATAAACAGTGTGATTTTTTAAAAATAAAATGACAGTCGTATATCCTGCTTTCGTCATTACACCGAAAGCAAATTCATACCGTACAATCAAATGGGTAGACAGCTGTTCCAGTGTCGACAGCTGTACCAGTATATACATGTCGGTGCGGGGAATACAATTGACGTACGGTAAGTATTAATCTATTTTAACATATCCCAACTGTGTTCGAGTAAATCAATGTTATGGATTCATAGTCAACATCCTAAGGGATATGCTGACAAATTTCTGGCCCTGTGCAAGCTTTACTTCACGTGAATTTTGACTGAAAATAACCACACTATCCGATGAGATGCGGTATTTTTAGTTTAAAGTCACAAAAACTTATATTTTCTCATGATAATAAATCCTTTTATCATACGATTCGTAAACGTCAACATTTCGTCATTAAATATTCCAAACCATATCTTCAAAAAAGCTTTTCTGTTAAAGTTATAAGGTATTTAAGTTTGAGTGTCATCAAAATTTTAGTAACGTCATCAGCTGTTCGCCTCTTTTTAATGATAACATCGACAGCAATTTATCGGCAAGAATGAATAACGCTGAAAGCCGTTCAAAGAAACAATTTTCAGCGCTTTGTGCTACAGTAACTAGGAAAGAGTAAAACTTTTTTGCTCATTTAAAATATTACTTTATTCATGATACTTTCTAATTATATTATTTTTATTATTAATTTATATTATTTGTTTTTATATGTGTTCTACTATATGTTGCCATGCAGTAAGTGGCTGTGTAACCCGAGATGTCTGCCATATAAAATGATTTATTTAAAACATAAAAATTTAAATGATTTTTAAGAATGATTATGATTTCTAACAGATTTTAAGGATAAAAAACAACATGTTTTTCCGTATTCAATATATGGATGGATGGATGGATGGATTGGATGGATGGATGGAGGGACGGACGGACGGACGGACGTATGTATGTATATGTTTTGTGTGGATGCGCGTGTGCGTGCGTGTTTGCACTTATGCGTATGTGTGTGTGCGTGCGTATGCATGTGTATTTGTCTGTGCGTGTAGTATGTGAGTGTTTTGTGCGTATTTATGATTTTGTGACTGTGCGTTCATGTAATTGTCTTTATGAGAGTGTAATTTTTACGTGCATGTGCGTGTGTTTACAGGGTTGACTGCATACACATGGTTGCATGAATGCATGAATCCATCAATCCGTCAATCCAACCATTTTTATTTGTTTGGGTCGTCATACCAAACAAATATTGGTAGCGAAATTTCAGAGCCTAATGCTGTTAATTGCAAATACCTTAAGTAGTCCACTTTTTTGAAGCGGTTACTTCCCTCTATGTAACGCCGAAAAATTCAGGGAAGATCAATGCGTAAAGATTGTCAAATGACAGGCGCATTAATTTTCAAGCAAAGTAGTTCCCGAATGGTCGAAGATTTCTAATATTGTTTCATTCTTTATAGATATACATGCTTACAGAAGCTCCATGATTATTTACATCTGTGTTAAACAACAGGTGTAGCGTCGAAATAATAAGAGCTACAAACCCTAATTTAGAATAATATGGTTTTCTTCAAGCCATTTACATAAAACTTCACGGTGGTTTGCACGCTCGCTTAAGAATCGAGAGATCTGGTGTTCAAATCCCAGTTCAGGCAACTCATTTGTTTTTAGTCAATTTGACTATCAGTGTTGCAATTAGTCTTATAGCCAATTTACTACAGTTAAAACACTGGAAAGCATTGGTGGCACTATACAAAAACAAATTGGTTTATAATCTCACAATCTTCACCTTTCTGTCATTCAAACAAATTCAGCGCCTTCTGTGCTTTGATTATATCATTCGATGATATGATGAAGTTAATTACTGCAATTATGACACATTGTGTTTTTGACTTTTCAGAATTTATTAGGGAGAAAAAGATACAGCAATGGATACTTATAAATGCTACTTTTGTGTATCGACAATTTTAATTTTTCAAGACAGCATTAAGCATTTGGTGGAAACACATCAGTTGAACTGCCTGAAATATAGAGAATATGAGTTAAACAGTGTCACTGGTGTATCGGGGTATAGAACTAAAGACAAATACACATGCATACGCACGCACACTCACACATAAGTGCAAACACGCACGCACACGCGCATACACGGCAAAACATATACATACATACGTCCTTCCGTCCGTCCATCTATCCATCCATCCATATATTGAATACGGAAAAACATGTTGATTTTGATCCTTAAAATCTGTTTTAATGTATAGTGCAATAGAAATAATAATCATTCTTAAAAATTATTAAAATTTTTATGTTTTGAATAAATCATATACGTGGGTTGTCCCAATATTCTGTGACAAGATTGTTTAAAAGCTAAATAAAGCAGGTACGAATTTGATTTTTTAATATGTTATAAACCCATATACTTTAAACAATTTTACATATTTTCATAGAAAAATATTAACAAACAACATAAATATGCCATAAACACCATGGCAGCTAACTGAATCGCGGCGCACGTCCAACGTCAAAGACGGCGTTAAATCTATATAAGGCGCCTTTCTCAAATACTCTCAATGGCTTTCAACGCAATAATGGTACCCATAAATCATCAATTTCTGACTTAAATTATGTTGTTGTTAGTGTCTATTGAATGTTTGGATGGCATACATTAATTTTTGCTATACGCGAACTTCCGGTCTCGTTACTCCTGTTTTTAGCTGTAGGAAATAGGCGGCGACGATCGGTCTTCCTATCCGTGTTTTCCTTATTTTCGATTTTTGTAGCGCAAACCTCTGATTCCGTTCATGCCTTTTGTACACAAGTGCTCAGGATATGTTGCTAAACTGTTCTATTTGGTATATTTTTTGAAAATCGTAACATGTGTCATCTCGAAATAGTCATGAAACCTGAGTGACCTGTTCACTGCGCCGCAAATTCTTCGAACGTCGCCATTTTAACTTTCCTATTTTATATGAGATATTTTCATTTATTCGTATCTTTTTCGTGTTTTCAGTTATTTAACTAAAATTTTCAGAGATGATTTAAACATAGCAGCAGAGGAAGTCAACGTGACATTGTGCAGACACATCATCAAATATTTGAAATATACGTAATTAATTTCAGCCTATTTATAACAAAATGCAAATTATCTAACGTGCGCCGGCAACGCAAACCAATGTCGTTAATACTGAAAATTTCTAAGTAACTAGAGTAATTTTTTTGTAAATGAGTTGTTGTAATGTTAAATAATAAACTTAACGGTTATATGTGTGAATTATTTTGCATTGGCGTTAAAAATGAACCGGCTATAAAATTTGTCACGGACTTTTGGGACAACCCTCGTATATGGCAGACATCTCGGGTTACACAGCCATTTACTGCATGGGACATGTCTACTATATGCCATTATTTATAATAACACTTGATGAATGCCTTTATTTATAATAAAGTGTATTCGTATTAAGCGTTAAATTTGCCTTTACTTTCTTTGAATTTAATATTTCATAAACACATTAATAGATCTTGCTACCTTTTTATATTGAAATACAGTGCGGTAAATGGAGATAAAGGCCTCTCAGCTAAGATACAACAAATAATAGAAAGTAATAATAAAAATAATATAATTAGAAAGTATCATGAATAAAGTAATATTTTAAATGAACAAAAAAGTTTTACTCTTTCCTAGTTACTGTAGCACAAAAGCGCTGAAAATTGTTTCTTTGAACGGCTTTCAGCGTTATTCATTCTTGCCGATGAATTGCTGTCGATGTTATCATTAAAAAGAGGCGAACAGCTGATGACGTTACTAAAATTTTGATGACACTCAAACTTAAATACCTTATAACTTTAACAGAAAAGCTTTTTTGAAGGTATGGTTTGGAATATTTAATGACGAAATGTTGACGTTTACGAATCGTATGATAAAAGGATTTATTATCATGAGAAAATATAAGTTTTTGTGACTTTAAACTAAAAATACCGCATCTTATCGGATAGTGTGGTTATTTTCAGTCAAATTTCACGTGAAGTAAAGCTTGCACAGGGCCAGAAATTTGTTAGCATGTCCCTTAGGATGTTGACTATGAATCCATAACATTGATTCACTCGAACACAGTTAGGATATGTTAAAAATAGATGAATACTTACCGTACGTCAGTTGTATTCCCCGCACCGACATGTATATACTGGTACAGCTGTCGACGCTGGAACAGCTGTCTGCCCATTTGATTGTACGGTGTGAAATTTAGTATCACTGGTATTTTAAAGCAGCATGCTTCCAGATTCTTGCCAACTTTCATGAAAAGTTTGAAAAAATATATTTAAAAGTGAAGTATTGTTATGTGACAAAAGTAATTTATACATTGCAAACGGCACATACAATCCACATAAATTACCGAAAGGTGGCCATTATGTGCCAAAAAAATAGCTCTTACTGTGTTAGTCACGCAGTAGAATTATGGTGATGAATGCTGCAAAATTAGTCACTAGTCGCATATAACATGTAAATTATTACTTAAGTCGTAACTCTTATTTACTTTTCTTAAAATCTTACCACATTTCTCTCAAGTTTTGTTTTCTTGAAATACGTTGGCTTATCTCGAGTCATGCAGCTTTATTTTCATATCATAATGCATTGCTACAACTTTCTTGTAACCTTTTACATGTACTTGTTCCTATCTTCTCTAAGCACGTATATAATTAGTATACAGATGTATATTTAATTTTGTAATACAAAAAAGCAATAATTTGAGGAGGTATGTTGTTGTTATAGGAATAATAAATTGTATTAATAATTAAAAAGTTCCGTTACATATGTAGTTTGGCACAGTCAATCATGCCGCAAGCAAATACTTGAAAAGTACATAACATGATGAACTGCAATAAACTAAACCTAAGCGTAATTAATTCTAATAAAACGGTAGAAATAGCTCTATAATTAGTTAGAAAGGATATAAATCGAGCTATTGTGATCCGTTAATTTTTCCGTTTTAGATAACTAAGATGTATAGATTTAATCAAAAGCATATTTTCTCCGGATTATTTTTTTGAACACATTTTGTAATTCCAGGTGCAACTTATTTTGGTCAAGACCCTCACATTGTCAACTCAAGATGTTCTTGTTTAACTTACGGTGTTGGTGTTCTTCGTAGATTTGATCCAGATAAACATTCCGAGGACAAAAAAGTAACAAAAGATGGGTTGGACTGGTGTACTGATGTTTTCGATGTTTTCGTGAAGGTTGACCAGTCCGTAGAACTAGGAGAAAAGATATTCAGGCGGTACACCCCAGTACGCCGTGACCAAACAGCAACTACTATTAACATATACAGCACTGAAAACGAAAACGCTGAATTCATCACAGACCCCGGTGTAACCCAGTGTGGAACATTAACTCTAAGACTGAAAGACATTGACCGTGGAGGTCCGAGACGTGAAATAAGGACGGAGATGACCTTTGGTGATACTGAAATCAGAGTCGAAGCAATTGACGTTGCAGCAGGGGAAGGTGTTGAGGCCAAGATCGACTTCATCAATTTGTAAACTACAGTGCTGACAAAAATCATTTCCTCTCTGGGAAAAATGGATATGATAGATTAAAAAAAAATATTATAAAATCATATTCAAGAGAGTGTAGACACCGATCAAATTGGCTTGTAAGAGGCACATCAATATGCATTCTTAAAATGAGCCGCGTCACGACAAAATCAACATAGTGCGTTTGCGACCAGCATGGATCCAGACCAGCCTGCGCATCCGCGCAGTCTGATCAGGATCCATGCTGTTCGCTATCATTTCTCTACTTGTAATACGATTTGTAAGCGAACAGCATGGATCCTGATCAGACTGCGCGGATGCACAGGCTGGTCTGGATCCATGCTGGTCGCAAACGCACTATGTTGGTTTTGTCGTGACGCGACTCAAATAACTAGCACATGAACAGTCTGATATATCGTACATTGATTTAGAAAAGACATATCGGACGCATGTTATCGTGTTACCGGTATTAGACCCAATTTAGTTCACTGTTAAATATCACAATTTTAAAATACTTTATGCTCTAGAGTATTCATATTCACAAGCCATCTTTATACGATATAATTTGTTCAATATTTATACGTTTCCTAAAAAAGTGCATTTCTTAAGTTGAATTTTAAAGGTCATATCTGTTTCTAGTCAGAATGAAAATGTGTCTATAATATGTAAATAATCTTTTTTCCGTCATTTTCCTTGCTAATCACTAATGCATACTCGGTGCTCCTTTGTTTTGTCATTCTGTTAATACGTGTTTGTATACAAAAATGTATGTTATATGTTATGCAAATATGTAGATTGAAGAAATCCTATGTCTTTTATTATGATTGACCAACAATAACAATCCATCAAGTAATATACATATAGTATTCTTACGGATACTTCATCCAATCACCGCAATAGAGGACAAAGGGAAAAAACAAAAACAGACCATTCATCTAAAAAAATCAAAACATTCTTTATAAAATTGAGCCGCGCCATGATAAAACCAACATGATGGGTTTGCGACCAGCATGGATCCAGACCAGCCTGTGCATTCGCGCAGTCTGATCAGGATCCATGCTGTTCGCTTACAACAAGTAGAGAAACTGATTGCGAACAGCATGGATGCGCAGGCTGGTCTGGATCCATGCTGGTCGCAAACCCATTATGTTGGATTTGTCATGGCGCGGATTATATTAATAAAAATGGGCCATCTGCAATGACCTAATGAAGCTATTTCAAATTCGGCTTATATTTTTGATAAAATACAGCTGTCATGAATACTTCTCAATATTTGAAATTTTAATGAAGTATGTGCTAATTGTAGACACCAATCCACTTTAATGGTATACAGTCGAACTTCGTTCGCTCGAACTCGGAGGGCCTGTGCAAATTTGTTCGAGAGATCGGAAGTTCGAGCCAATGTATATACATTGTAAGAGAATTTTGTCTGGTGAAATTTAAAAACAAAACGACAATTTTTGCTTGAAACATTATATTGTCACTAAAAATTGTCTTTTTACAATTAGTAAACGTTCTTGCATTCATACTATTTTGCTGATACAGTGCTTTATTAAAGCCCGTGAAGCAAGCATACAAAGAAAGCAAAGAAAATCAGTGGATTCGCAAATACAACTGTAGAATTCTAGTTGTCAAGATAATTTGAGCCGCGTCACGACAAAACCAACATAGTGCACAGTCTGATCAGGATCCATGCTGTTCGCTTACAAACCCTATAACAAGTAGAGAAACTGATAGCGAACAGCATGGATCCTGATCAGACTGCGCGGAAGCGCAGGCTGGTCTGGATCCATGCTGGTCGCAAACCCATTATGTTGGTTTTATCATGGCGCGGCTCATTTTGTTTTCTATACTATATTTGTAAAAAAGCTTGCATGCATCTGTAAAGATTGATGCATATTTTTTTCATCCGCGGACCTTATTGATTAATCATTATATAATAATTAGTATAATGTGCAACTGAATCGGCATCTCGTCGTATTTCATACATTACGTTTTCCTTACCATAGAATGGCGATTGTTAAGTAAACAATATTCTTCCCAGTGGATTATTATCTTCATTAATTTGTCATATGAAGAGGGATGGAAACGCATTAACACGTCGGATCTGTGCAATTATTTTGAATTATTTAAGCACTTACAAAAACTATTAAGAATTGTCGTAATGGGTCTGAGATTCTCGGAAGTAAAGGAATAGAAAATAATTTTTGGTCAGAACATTTATTTTTTGTATATTTTACTCTGCTAATTTTTTTACGAAGTTATTTCTTCGTCAAGAATCCATTCGGTTGAATATTCAAAAGAAAGATAGACTTTGTTAATGCCAAGCTGAATATAAATAAAAATGTTAAATAAGTCTGGTAGACTTTTGGATGGAGATATCATTGAATAAAGAACCTATATTCAAGTAATACACATTAGAATTGAAAGCTAGTTATTTCGCTATCAGGGCTGTATATATTACATGCCCCTGAACAACACATCGTACCACTTGATTTCAAACATCTTTAGATTGATATGGCATCTTACTAAGGTTTTCTTCATTTGCACGCTTCTGCCGCCAGAAATAAATAAAAAGAATGGCACTGACGTCTTCCTCCACCAGTAAAATACAGAAAAACGGAATCCCCAAAGAAAGCCCAAAACGACAAAATTGAAAATGTTACAGGCTCGGTTTGATGAACGGTACTGGAAAGTGCAAGTTACTGTCCACGCCCCCTAGCACTGATTTAAGCAGAATCAAGCCGCCACTTGACCGTGTATGTGTGACCCAAACCCAAACAATTATCCAGTAGTATTTTAATATTTCATAACCTACCGGGTGATCTCATGAGAAACAAAGAAAGATAACTTATTCAAATCTCTGCTATTTCTCTTTTTTCATAATATGCTTGATTATACAACGGTCATAGCTTGCCTTTATTAGACAGCATATTTTAGGCTCTATAAAACACCATAAACGCCATTACATCACAATTATTATAACAAAAATGATTCGGTTGTGAATTACACAATATTACTTAACAGTAAAACAGATTATATATTTTTGCAATGACGTAATAATACGAAATGATAAGCAAATATTGCTTAATTGTCTACACTGCGGGTACTAAAATAAATGAAAACCAGATTTTTATTGTCGCATTTAGTTGATAGGTATTATAAAATATTTCTTAAAATAAGAATAAATGCAAATACTAATTAACTAGCGTAACCTTTATTTAGATACACTTTTTTACAGAATTAAGCCTACTAAGCTTCATGGAAGCAAAAGCGATTAGCCTTTCAAATCGGAGCAAATCCATTTGACAAAATCAGCGACTTAAGGATTAATAAATCACACATCAGGATTATTTCAATCAAGTCACGTACACAACTTACATGATTTAATTTATTAAACGAGTTATCAATAAAGAATGTAAAAATTCAGAACGTTCATACATACATTTTACTTTGCACACTATTCATCTATTGATATATAGCATTGCCAATAAGTGGCACATCAAATAAATCATTAAAAAAAACCTGCAGCCTCGATCATTTATGAATGATGTCAAAGCAAATAATATCTTAAAGGAACTCCACTGAAGTCCAAAGATCTCAAACATAAAAATTGAAAATCTTTAAAACTTAAAATGGTAAACTTTGGGATGGATAACAAAGAAAGAACAAATTTGTACACCAATCTCGGGAAAATATTTCCTGTCCCGAAACGTCAAAACAACTCAGTGGAGTCCCATGAACTTGATGTTTGAAATGATTTTGCAATGTTTATTCACTTTTGTTTGATTTTAAGTCAGATTGACACGTTAGAAGCAAATACTTTTTATTACAAGGTTATTTTAAGGTAATAGTGACCTTGACCTTTGACCTTGTGATCCTAAAATCAATAGGGGTCTTTTACCCATATGGACAATCATCCTATGAAGTTTGAATATTGTGGGCCTTTATACATTGTATACTTATTATATACTTGAACTATTTAGAAATATTGATGAAATAAAATATGTATTTTCATTTTGTCGTATTTTCACTGTAAAAACTCAATTTTCACCGCAGTGAAACATATTTTCCGTATTTTCACTGGTGTATTGCCTAATACGTTTTTCTTAATTCAGTCAATACACAAAATCAAAAGAAGAAGTCGCAAGAAATAAGTTTAAAAAAGAGAAAACAGTATATAATAAACAGAAAATTCAAGTTTTTCATATAAATACAGGATTAATTTTCATCTTGTGGTATGAAAATTATCAATATTTATATTCATACCTCTCCATGAAAATTAATTTACGTTGTACAGATAATGGCATGGAATTGATGAATATTTCGACAAAATTTATTGCACGTTATTCAATTTTCTGTAGTCAATATCTGCATGTTATTTCAAGTCTAGAAATGGATGAATTTAATCATGTAGAAAGTAATCCATTTTGTCATTTCAGAGACATTTCAACGTGCTCTGAATTCACCAATTACCACTAAGGGTGTCATTGAATATACTGTTAAAAGTCTATACAAATCATTTCCAATACTGTTACACATTTTGACTGGTTTTGCTCGTCAATTGTACATGTCAAGTCTTGTTGTAAATTAAAAACGAAGTCTTTTTGTTGAGTATCCACCATTGCTGGATTTGATCGTTACGTCTTTTTTCCTTCACAATTTATTACATTGCATTTGTCGGTACAAACAATTCAAATAAAATGCGAACAAAAATGAGTTATAGACATCATCGTAAGTAGGAGATAAGTAGGTTTATCCGGCAAGACTTTATCCAGCTGAAAATATAGACACGAGCAGGATAAATTACAAAGTTAGTTTTGATATTTATTCTGCAGTGTACAAATTTTTGTATTTTTTATTTTATGCTTTTTAGTGGATTACAGATTTATCCGTGAAAATTATATTTGATAATTTCACAGTGAAAATTAACAAAATATAATCTCACACTGTTCAATGACAAAACTCATCTTTAAGATTTTCGCAATGTGATACTTCAATTTTATTTTTGCTGACAATTCTGACAATGCCAGGCTGTGTAAAGAAAAGCAAAGCTGAAATTGATAAATAACTTAAATGTCAAAAGTAATAAAAAGAAGAAAACTTACTTCTATTCATTCCAATCACCAAATTTCGTCTCTAAATTTTTTGGTTTCATTTTTACAGTCTGAAAAATACATTCCTTTCACGTGCAAAACTGCTCTTGGTGACATTTGGGCATATTAAAGTATCCT